CGATTGCAATCTTGGCACAGAATCCTGCTGGATGCCTCTGGCTCGGTACAGATTTCTTTCGGGCGATAACACTTGAGACATTTGCCTTGGCATCGATGTTTTCTTTCTGAACGTACGGCTTGTCACACAACTCACAGTAATAACCACGTCGATGGAATCCGGATGGACTGGTTATCAGATCAAAATGGCCATTCTCGTACAGAAGATAGATGGTTTTCAGCTTACCCTGCCTTTCGGGACACCTGGCAATAATGATGTTACCTTGTTCGGCTCCAACAACTTTGATCTGGAACTCCTTAAGGACAGTTGTTTGGAATCGTTCAATGTCGTTTAAGGAAAACTTGGTTCCGACAGTAAGTCCAGCTTCTTCCACCAAATCCGCTGCAAGTCCTTGTAGTTTCTTATCTCGTCTATCAGTCAGTTGCTTCCAGATCCGTGTGTTCTTTGCAGGATCGTGATAGAACCGTCCAAGCACAAGGCATGCTGGCAAACACAGATTATAACCGACATCAACTTGCACAATTGAAGTCGCAAATCGTTTCCGATCGTGGGTTGAGTGAATATGCTTGCGCTTAGCAGCACCACCAGCGGGAATGACCGTACGTTGAATAACGAGCCGTAGAGAATCATCGATACAGAAAAGTCCACCTGAGTTGATCTTCATTACCATCTCCGTCAGGTCGCGCGGATTAAAATTATTGAAGAACTGCATTTTTAAATGCATGGGATTTTCCATAGTCCGGGTGAACAGTGTTAGGCAGACAGCGTCGTCCGGCTGGAAATCTTTAGAACAGGCTTTCCAAACTGCTTTAAACACTTCAGGCAGGGCTTCCAATGACGTTACTGTATCAAACTCTTGCGGCAAAGACTTGATTTTGAGGCTGTAGAAATACTGATGATGGTTGAACTTTTGTTGTGATTGTGACTTATCTTCTGGAGCGTAAAACTTTGGACCAGTCCGATTCCGACGGTAAGGATTGGTCTGACTCAGGAACGTTGACATTCTGAACAGGTTGGCTGAATAATTCCTGGGAAGGAACATGATTCGCAACAATAGCTTCTTCCACATCGTCGTCGTTGTCTTGCACGTCGACATCCATCGCCTCTGCACCACCTGCCTGAACATTTTCATCCACATCCAGGACGTTTTCCACAGTAACTTCCATGGGTTCATGCGTTTCATCGGATTGTGTGGCTGGCGATTGCGGTGGTGTGTAGACTTGTGACCAGTTGAATGGACTACCAGGCGGTGAATAAGGATTTCAAGAATTGGCCGAAATTATATCCGTAGTCGTCAAAGTCGTTGTCGTTATCCATGAGATCATGATCCATGGCAGCAATGTAGTTAGTATCCACTTTATTCAATGTTGAAGGCTCAGAACTACAAAAGAAGCCCTTGATTAGCTAGAGTACTGCTTACACGTAGAATTCTGTGCCATACCTAAGATCTGTGGCCAAATTTAGAATGTAGTGGCAGCCAATTTGCTTTTGAATCTGGTTACGCAGGGCATTGCTCTTTTCCAACGTTGTATGACGGGAATAAATAATTTGCCAACCAAACAGCTGTATTTCGACAGCTGTGTCACGCATGGCAAATCGTATATCTTGGCCAGAAACAACCTGTACAGAAATCATAATTGAAAAATGAAATAAAGAAAGAAAATATCGATTCTTACCTTTTCCAAAGTGGTGTTGATAAAATAACGAGACAAGTGCGTGCATGCTTCACTGAACAATGTTGCACCATGTTGTACGCTGTCAGGCAGCAGGTGCTGAAAGTCTTTAGGTATCTCCGGCCATTGATGATGGAAGAAGTTATACAACTCAGGGTACGGCTTAGACTCATCCAGAACAGCTTCGATGAAGGCGCGGCCAATGAATTTGGACGAGCACTTCTTGCCACTTGGATTGAAGAACATGATTTTTATTTCTGGGCCTACGAAAGACATGACATGACATGACATCATTGAAATTCAGAAACAAATCTTTACCGTTATTGAGTAGCGCCATCACGGACACATGAGAGATAAGATCTTTGTGCATTTGCTTGTTTGTTGTTGACACAGGAATCAAGAAGCTGCCTTTCGTTGCAAGCATCTGAAGAAGACTTTTCAAGTTGACGCAGTCCAGCGATGCAGCAAGATTGCTGAGCGACCAAGAGTCGGTAAAATCCCTGTCGGTCATATAGCGATTGTATTGGTCAGCACGGAATGTTCTCGCCACGCGAACACCTGAACCATGAGCCAAGGCACTGGTCACTTTATCCAACTGCTTAACAAACCGTTTTCCAGGATAGTGCAGCGTTTCAAGCGCATCCACAGCCCGTTTAGCCGCAGAACTTTCTTTTTCTGCAAATTCTTTGAAACACTTGGAAAGATACGAGCAGTGTTGCAAGATGTGGGCACTTATAGGCTTGGAAACCATGGTTCCGCATCTTGGACATTGTCCAGTAATTGAAGTAGACGGTCTCGGTGTTGAAAGGATTGGCGACTTTTCTTTATCTAGAAAAACCGTTCTGCGACTCCGGTTTCGTACCGGAACTTGCTTGCATCGTCCCATATTGGCCTGTGGTTACAAAACACAATGTCAAAAAAAAACAAAATTGCGCCCGATGAAGTTGAACCATGTGTTATCATCTAGAAAGTTGTGCAAGTTGCATTCGATGAAGCTGAACCATGTGTTATCATCTCAGAAGCTCTACCCAATGAAGTTGCACCATGTGTTACATGTTTTGCAGAAAAAAAAAAATCATTTCAGAAGCTCTACCCGATGAAGTTGCACCATGTGTTATCATCTAAAAAGTGGCGCCCGATGAAGTTTAACCATGTTTTATCATCTCAAAAAAATTGCATGCACCATCAGTAGCGACTCAGTTTTCACGTCAAACATGTAGGAAAGTTGAGAATCTCGTGTCGAGCAAGAAAATCTTAGAATGTCAAGGCACAGTTCAGGGACAGACAGGAATCAGACAGGTGGAATGTTATGCAGCATCTGGTAAGGATTGTGAGAATGCACCTGGCGTGGCGCCAAGCAAGACGGTAAGACAATAGGAATCTTGAAAATGTCGCGTCAAGCATGAAAGAAACTTGAGAATGTCGCGTCAGAGTCACAGGACAGATAATTAGGCAGCTGGAATGTTGAGATTGTCATATGAAGCACGTGGGAAAGTAAAGAAGCGAAAGTGAGAATGCACCTGGTGCGGCGCCATGCACTTCGTAGCACAATAAGAATCTTGAGATTGTCGCGTCAAAGTTGAAGGAGAGACAGTAATTAAACAGAGAATCTCAAAGAAAGAATTTGTGAACGACGCAAAGAAGGTATAACTTGGTGCAACTAAATGTATGCAGGGATGAAAACTATGAGAAAGTGCGGAAAAAAGTACTTAACACGTACACATTCACTTACCGTATGGAGTTTCTCCAGAATGCGGACACTTTTCTACTCCGCCAGCACTAACACGTGCTGTTCCGTGCCAGTCAATCAGTACAAGATGAGAAATAGTCCAAAATCAGTACAGATCCGAGTGCAAAATTAACAAAACGCGGACATCAACAATGATAACATTAAAATAAAACCCTTTCAAACGTGCAAACGATCTTTGCAGTTTCCAGCAAAACAACTTTCATAATGATAGCACACGATCACGCACGTTAATCCAGTTGTAGTGCTGCAGATATAATTCCTTAGATGGTGACTTACAGAAGTGAAAACTAAGAATGATGACTTGGAAAGTTTGACCTGTGCACTTGATCACAAGTCACTGCAGTGCAATACATCTGGTTTAAAGTGGCATCGTAATATAATGTCAGCCAATACACTGTTGTACGCGGTGCATTATGGGCGGTATTCAGATCAAACCAACCAATACGCTATTGTACACAGTACATGAACTGTACGCTATTCGTACACACCATCAGTCCAGACTGATCTGTACGCTATTTGTATATACAGTACAGTGTACAGACCATATTCCGCTATTCGTATACCCTAGACTATAGGGGGCGGTACTCAGGCTAAACCGACCAATAGGAGAGCCCGCTATGTGTACTACCATCAAACCGCTGGTTCTACTACTTCTCTTCTCATGCCAGTACTAGTTTTCGCCTTCGACGGAAGCAAACATCTGATCTAAGTGCTGGAAATCAGGTACATCAAGGAAAATGGCTGAAAGGCGATTCACGCCCTTGCGCGGTTCAACCGGAAACGGGAGGGGCGGTTTTGTCTTGGCACGCTTATATTTGTAGATTGCTAGCAGCTCACTTTCAAGCAGCAAATCGTTCTGCAAAAATCAAATAAGCGGCTGTAAAGGCATAACATCACTTATGGATTCGTTTGCATGACATAGAAGGATAATTTTCTTATTTTCTTCTTCTTCAACCGATGGCTCTATCAACCTTAGCCGGGCCGTTGACCAGCTGAGAATCGCACAGTAAAGAAACCGGACAAGAAACAAAGCATCACCCAGCATCTGACGCCGGTTAACCTTTCACAGCTCCAGATTATTCTTGCGGCACGCCTGGAACGCTGTTTTCATAATTATGCTAAAAGCGTTAACCGATAAAGGCTTCCGCTTTAGTTATCAATGTCCGAATGACTAAAAAAGTATCAAAAAGAGCTAATACTCGAGATAGTACGTACCTAACTCCAGCAGTGATGATCAGTAAGCGCATACGTAATCAGTCAGGGTTTAATGTTCGCGCTTTTTTATGTTTACATATACACGGTAAGACTTGCCAACTAAGCCAGGCAATCTCTGCTGTTGCGGTACTTACTTCCGGTATTATTTCGATTTGTGGAATGCCTTCGCTCAATCTGCGGTATATCTTCGACAGTCTGCTGAATGCCAGAAGAAGGTTAACTAAGTCAATGGCGAAATGGTGGATCAAAGCGCATACAGGTACATGTACATGTAATTATTATAGCACGTAATTATACATGTCCACTTATACACTTCTTCGATCTGGTATCCGGTAGCGATATCAATAGATCATCACTGCTTTTATTCTTTTTCGCAAACTATGAGGTTCAACCTTCTGAATCATTTACTCAGTAAGTTAGGAGGCGAATAATTCCATAAACGCTATTAATTTTTATAACAGTAATGACAACGAAAGCCGAAAACAACCGCCGTTATGCCGCTTGTCCGGCAACTAACGGTTTGCTGATACTTTCCAAGCCGCCATTTGCGGCCGACTAACACGCAAATCCATGAATTCCACTTCCAAGTCCACTTCAACCTCTCTGCCACTGCCTTCGATACGGACCATGTATTTATCATTTTGACGGCCTTCGTAGGTCACAATGTTTGGGTAGAGCTCCGGCGTTCCATGGTTACCGTCACAAAAAGGCCAGAGCATCTGCTGGCCACGCTTCAGGATATCCGATGCCCGCACCAGTTGATTCGAACAATATAGGCTAACCGGTTTTCCTTGTAATCTGACGAGAAAACCATAGGAAGTTTTTTCTAGAATCTTTCCCGCATACCAGGGTTCGCCTTCGACGGAAGCAAACACAAGTTCCAAGTGTTGAAAATCAGGAAAATTAGAGTAATCGGCTAAAAGGCGATTCATGCCCTTTCGCGTTTCAACCGAAAAAGGAAGGAGCGGTTTCGTTTTGGCATGCTTATATTTGTAAATTGCCAGCAGATCGCTTTTAAGCAGCAAATCGTTCTGTAGAAAGGTAAACAGACGAATTTATTGGCGAAATAGTTGGGAATTTAATAACAACTATTTTTTGTAATTGTTAGATTACCTTCGCCGGGCCGTTGACCAGTTGAGAATCGGATAACAGCGGAAATCGAATATGAAATAGAGCATCGCCCAGCATCTCTCGCCGGTTAACTCTTGATGGCTCCAGATTATTCCTGCGGCACGCTTCTCTAGCCCATCTGCATTCAAACGACCAGCAATCAATACAGCGGAGCAAATACAACTGGTGACTCGTCATTCCGTCGACGAAAAATTGTGGATCGATCTTCTATTCGTAGAGCAGACACACGACGCCACGACGTTTGATTAAAGCTTGGCTTAATCTTTTTAATTTTCTTATGGTTTTTTATGCAAATATTTTAAGTTGCACAGGCTTACCGGCATTCTTGTCGACTAACAATTCGTCGGCCGTCACGAGGACGACGACTAAGAAAGCATCAGAAGGCATGAGAAAACATAAGAAAACAGAAGAAAACGTAAAAATGCATACAAAAGCATAAGAAAATTAAGAAGGTTTAGCCAAACTTTGTAATATTATTACAACGGTACGGTTGACACATTCGTACGTACTTTTCCGCAGCCTTGTATAGTGTATTCTCATCCACCCACAAGGAATCCCGTTGCAGAATCTTTCCCAGTGTATCCTGACCAATCGTGGTAAACTGTTTCGAAAGCAAAATATTTCTGGTTTATACATCCACAAGTTCCAGGCACTGCTCCACGAAAGCCGTAGCGCAATGATGTACCAAATATTTAACCTGGGAACAAGCAAAGATAGGGCCGTTAGTACCATCGGGCTGTGATTGAACGACGTCATCAAACCGACATTTTCCAGATACTCCAAACAGTTGGTGAGCTTCAGCTGGCTGTTCAGGAACTTCAGGCTCAGTTCTAAAAGTACGGGCAAGTTGTACTTATCCGCGCAGTAAACAGTCTGGAAAACGTTCTGTGTTCCCAGTTGTTCCTCGGCTGAACCCGTGTACATATACCTGAAAGTTGAAAAATTGTGGATCGATCTTCTATTCGTAGAGCACACACACGACGTAAACACGATGCAAGTATGATAGTATTCAGCAACGTTATTTCAAGGATTTGACAGATTACGACAGCAATACGTAAATCAAAAACTTGAGCGCATTTACATGAGCATTATGTCAAATGCTTCTGGAAGGATCTCAGGGATGCCGATGGGCTCTGGACCGGTTTCCGCCAGTTGCCCATTGAACATTGCGTCAAAAACGTCACTGTTGAGGCTGAGGATAAATCTAAAAGAACGTTAACACCATACCACTGTTAAGACCATACCGCCGTTAAGATTTGCAATATGCAGCCTACAGTTTTCTGACTACATATCTCACTTGTGGGCTGTAAAGATCTTCACTTCACCATGATCCCGTCCCACTGAAAACTGGACATCGCCCAGCTGCCCGTTGGTTAGGACATGCTTCAGCAGACTGGTAATACCGGGAACTCTGCGTCGCCAGTCGGAAGAAATCACAGGTGTTTCGACAGTTGTAAACTGGGACATGGCGGCTTGCATTAAGATTTCGGTCCTCGCAGTTCAATATTAATGTACCATCAACTGCTGGACGGTTTTCATAATAACTGACTGGCACTTTAGAGTACATCATATTCAGTTGGATTTTCCGTCTGGTCAATATATTGCTCACAATTCAGCGAGTCAGTGACGCCGCAACGCGTGTGAGTGAACAACGCCTTCCGAACCAAAAAATTGCGATACATCAGCACCACTTAATGCTTTTACAGCTTTTCCTGAAGTACTAGTACTTGAACTCACGAGGATGTATGACTGCACAGGTGGAAAGCACATGATTTCCGGTTGCATATTTCCAGGTGAACATTAGCAGGCGTCAAACACACCGTTGTCCGACGGGGCTTGGCAGCTTTCACATATCATGGGTCAGAAAATATGGCCACTCATATTGTATACTCGTATAATATGATACTGTAGTCACCCGCACATCTTGGGCAACAAAGTTAAAATGCATTATTCTTATTATAAGGCATTACAGAATAACAAAATACGAGGTAACATTACAACGCAGTACACACAGTCATTGACCCAACAATTTGACAACAGAGACAACTAATCAAAATTTGCTCCTGGTGGAGGCTGTTCCCTGGAGGATGGCCGCGTTCCCGCACTGGATTTCTTACGACGGAACAGAGCTTAAGGGTTTTGGAGGTGCCACGTTCATGGCTTTAATAACAAGATCTCATCAGCATCGTATTATCGCAACGAGCAACGTTTTTTTGTTCTGATTGATTTGTGGTCATGAAAGAGGTATGTATGTTGTTGCATTCAGAGTCCAGACGAACTGATTGTAAAAGGCAAATGTAACCGCTTGCTACAGGCTTTTCTGCGTATCGGCATCGTCCATGTCACCTCCTAACAGCGGTATGGTGCTGCTTACCGCCGGATCAACATGGGACAGGTCGTCCGCATCGGCACGATACTGGTCAGTCAGCTCAATGGACGATATGGAAACGTGAGCACTTTGCACAGTCGTGACACTTCCTGGCAGCAGTGAACCGTCGTCAGCAGACAACGCATTTTCGGCGTGGCGAGGCCGACCATGAAGACGGCGCCAAACAGCGTAGACAGAAAGTAGAATGCACAGAGCTGCAACGCCGCCTATACACCCATAAATCCAGTTGTGAGATTGCGGTGACTGGTGAAGCTCGCTGGTAGTTTCTGCAGAGATTGGACAATGGTGGATGGTGACAAGCGTAATTACAAAGACTTGCAGCGGGCAATTTGATTATTACTTTACCGTTGGAGTTTGTCCAATTGTTTGACGGTGTGCCGGCCGCACGCGACGGATCAGTTACGTTCGGCTGATTTTTATCCACTGCCTGAGCTGCTGAAAAAAAAGATAATTAAACACAAATGATACCGTAAGATGTGCACATTCAACATTGTATGTACTTAAGATACCGTTTCTCAGTGACTTTTCATTTTGCTATTCGTGCTAAACGCGCACGCAAAAGAATTCGGCGCTTACTCGTACTGGTTTTCGCACGTTATTCAGGTTTTTTGTCGTACGTTCTCAGTCTTTTCTTTGGATTTCCGGTCTTCGTAAGATCTTTATGTTCTCTTAGTTTCTGATAAGTTTTTTTAAGTTTATTGCATTTTTAAGGTTGTTTGTGTTTTCTTTTGTTTTCATTTGCAAAACGGCTGCATTCATGTTTCTTGGTACATACACGAAATTCTCATTTTTGTTTGGTTCCTTAGGTTTTCTTACGTTTTCTTACGTTTCTTGGGTTTGTTTAGTGTTTGTTTATTTTTTGGTTTTATTTTCTTGACACCTTTTGCGGGCATAATCAACTACATATTCGTCTGAAAATCGAAATGCTGTTCGTGTGAAAAAGCGGTCAAAATGTCTTGGTATGTGTGGTATCTTGCTGACTGAACATCGCGCCGCAAGATTACCATGCTGCGAAATGTCTTCTGCAACAAGCTATCCGCGGCAAAATGTCGCGGCGCTGTGCAAAAGATACCTAGCGGTTTTTCTAACGGCTGGTTTTATATTCAGACCAGGGCCTGAAAACTTGTGCTCACATAGCACAAAATGTGCTCACATAAAGGGCCATGTGCTCATCTAGATTAGAACTTGTGCTTAAAAATTACCAATACTCCCCTCTTCTGTGTAATTTAGCAGGTTCTAATCATTTCGTTTTATTACAAACTAAACTACGCAAATAGAAAATGCGCGGTGAAGAATAGCTTAAACGCCAATCGGTATACATGCGTATCGCCTTCTCCCACAATGTGCACATTTGCTGGTGAACGTATTTAGTCCAACCGCATTTTTGACAGAAGTTGCGCTACATCCGTATATGCGCATCTGTGCAGTTGTTCCGTTACTTCCGCAGTTACAATGCTGTTTCCTGCTCACGAAGATCTAGTTTTATGCGCACGATTGTGGCCGATCCTCACAGTTATTACTTATTGGCACGATGAACCATTACAACAGCAAATCTGCTTGAATTTCCTTAAGCAGGTCTATGCTGCTTTCGAAAATACGAAAGCGCGCTCACGTGTTCACCTTCTTTAATGCGCTTGCATTGTACACTATGTAGTTTACTATCATCTAAATATTATATAAATGAGTTTGCCATGAATTAACAGAATGAATTCTAGTGCTTTACACAAAATACACGTTTCTCGCACGTTCGTTTCTTGTACGCAAAATAACGGCTTATTGTCGAGCCTTCTCGAGAACGACCTTTTCGTTTAGGAATGCATATTCTAACCGGCTTTTCTGGCAGCGGGTTTCCATACAAATTCAAAAGAAAGTCTTACGCGACCGGGATAAAATGGATTATTAATAATCCATTTTATCCCGGTCGCGTAATTTCATCTCCGTCGCAATAATATTATTGCGAAACATTTCTGTTGAAGCTGCGTTTGTTCTTATTCCTTTTCCAGATCATGTTTTTTAACAGTACGGCCGTAAGGGCATCTTCAGAGTACTCTAACGATACATCACTGAGTATAAGTTGACTGCTGCACTTAGTATACATGCTTTAGTACGTGGGTATTCTGTCGCTCTGATGGATACAGTTACCTACCGGTACACTCTCCCTTTCCAGATTTCGTTATTACTGAAATCAGAAACAGATAGCGTTGGAGTCATAAGCATTCTAACCAGGCCAAGAAAGACAAGATAAATCCTGAGACACAAACCTACTACTAATTTTCATTAAATTTAACAAACCAAAATATGTTACTGGTAAATAACCTATTTCGATTGAATTTCTAACGTTTTCTGGGCAAACAGCATCGTCAGCTTCGCGCTTCGCGCGATGTCTCCGACTCTCGATTGTCCCAAAAAAATGTTCACTATCATTTACAAATTCGCCTAACTGACACACGCACGCCACAATAAAATCAACAGTAGATTAGTCGCTGGACATTCAAAACTTTCACAATGCAATCCAGTACGAAAATAACAAAATAGTCACTACCCCCCTCTTTCCAAAATTTAAGTGTGCTCACATAGATTTTAAAGATTTCTGGCTCTGATTTCAGACGTTGTAAACTCAAGTTGGACGTTATACGCTCATGAACTCATTGCATTCTAGGTTCACACTGCTCATGAAGACTATATCAGGTATAACTATCGGAAATCAGAACTAAAAAAACTACAATAAAAACTTATAAGAGAAGGATTGTCACTGCGTCGGTAGCGCACAGATATGTATATCGCCAAATACTGAGATGAACACCATCATTGGGTGAGTTAACCGACTACCGTGGATGTTTTCGTAAGCGTAACCAAATGCGCAGCTAAGTATCATAGAAAGTTGCAGTAACCAGTCACTGCCACTGGCTGCTTAAAATTTTATAGTAGTATGTTTAGGTTTGGTGGATGTTATCAGTAAAACTAAGTACCCGGTACGTGAAAATATCAGAATACCATATCTTTCGACGGCTGTTTTTGGTAGTATAAAGCCCACCATGCTTAACGCCTGCGCGTTTATTATCATGCCGCAACCTACATCGCAAAGTACCGGATTTCGACTGAGGATCCGTACTTTTTTCCATATTTTCTCTCGGGAAAGAAACTGAGGGTCCATGTTGCCCAGACGAAGTATTCCCGGTTTCACCTGAAAATTTCTCAACTTTTTCTTCTGAGTTAAGAACAACGTTTCCCGATACATAAAAATTAATATTTAATATAACATCGTTTGATAAATCGTATTTTCTACATATATTTTCTTCTCATGCAAGCCCTTGGTGTTCAATTGGATACGACAAAACATCTAAAAAATACATTACGGTGAGCAGTGTAACTGACGTAAGTACAAGCTAAGATATCGAAAGTCTAATGCACTTACACAACGGCTCGTTAATCGAATATTCCCATTGACCCAAGTTGATAGTAAAATTCGCCGTAGCAGTAGCACGGCAGTCTACCGGGTAGAACACATCGTCCTTGGTGAATGCTCCGTACGAAGTGACGCCCTCAATGGAGCCTAATTCCCCTGCCTCTACTTCCAAGCGCAGCGCCTTGTTGTTCTTTCTCCATGTGCGAAAATGTGAAAAAGCACAATCACAGTGCAGTCGCCATACATACTCCCCTCGTTCGTCGACATCTACAGCTTGTTGAGGTGTATCAAGAAGAATTTCTCTTTCCATTGTTAGTAATTTTAGCTCAGGTAGATTGCTGAAGGTTCCCGGCTCAAGCGTCAGTACTGTCGTGCGACGAAAACTCACACACTGCAACCGATAAAGCCCGTTGAAATCGGCTTTCTTGATGACCAAGTCGCTACTGAAGGCGATTGTCACACCCAAAAGATTCACCAGCCCGAAAATAGACAGCGCGGATGTGCAACGGCTGTCCTTGCACCACGAGATTATAAAATTACTGATTAGACGTCGAATAGGCCGGAATGCAATGGGCGCTTCGTATCTCGGAAGGCGATCCTGCAGGTGCAGTGAAACAGGGCGCAGTGGCAGTCTTGCGACAGTCGCAGCGGCGTCTTCCCAATCTTGGGATGTCGTGCCGCTATTGCAAGAAAGTTTGATGACCTTAAGGCCGGTACAGCTTTCCGTCACCGTATCTTCTCCGCATTTTAGCTTGGACAACGTTGCACACATATCCGTAGAAACGAAGCTTGTGACAAAATGCAGCGCTGGTTCCGCAGTGCGAGCACGGTTACTTAGGTTCGTGCAGTTGTAGGCGGTATATAGCTTAACAATGTCTTTTGAACTCAGGGTTCGCCTCTGGCCCATCTTAATGCGCTTTCCCTTCGAGGGAGCGGTCTTGGGAAGGAATACCGGTAGATTGGGGTGTGTTGGGTCTGTCAGGTCAAATGCACCGTAATGCAGAATGGACTCCAGGTCATACTCTGTTCCGTAGCTGGGCATCTGCGGAAACTTGTGAAACACTAGGCTATCGGGTGGAAGATTCGTACGGTTCAGATAAATACGCAAGTAATTGTCACGGTCGCCTCGGTGGTGTTCATGAAATAATCCCAACGCGTGCAAAACGAGATGTTGGATGGCGCCGCGGAAAACACACGCTTGGGCCAAGGTAATATTCTGCTGACCGCCTTGTTTACCAACGCCGGACTGGCATCTACAAGGCAAGAGCAACCTGTTAGCATTCTGTACATGTCAGCCTTCTGTACATGCGTGCAGAATGCTGGCTATGGGGACGCTCGACCGTCAAGTCTTAAATCGTGAAAATAAAAAACACCATAAGAAACCAAAAGTCGGCATTAATTACCTTTCTCCTGGCAAAAACACGATATAATCAATTTCGTCTTCTACGGATTTGAAGGTAATGCAGTGTGCTGTGAGGGACGATATAGAAAGCAACGCATCTTGGATTTCAGCGGAGTCAGCACTATCTTTAACACACCGTGTTTTGTTAGGATGCTCAGCGGGAGTGAAAATGGCGTCCTACACTATAATTTTACCAAGAGCTGCTTACCCAAATTTGTGTTGCACTTACCAAAATCTGAGCTGATTAAGTATGGAATACTGTCCAATTAAAAATGTTTTAATTGTTATTAATGTGGCGTACGAGTGTTGTGCTGTCTGTTCTGTTTTTCATTTTACGCCCACATCCTGTTTTCCCAGCGCCAGCATGGCACCGATCGGTGTTAGAGTTCATCGCTGCTTGCACCGCAGCTCATTTCAGTTTTGCCAAGCTAGCGTGCAGTTGCAAACTTTTCTTTAAGTCAGAGATATCAGTTAGTCTGCTCATTCAACGAGATCCGTGTTGGTTACTGCCCGTGATAATGACTCGAGGTCAAGCGAATATTAGCCAACCCGGATCCCGGTATAACACACGGCAGCGTGCACCACATCAAGTACCCACGAAGCGAAAGGTCACCAGGAATCCCGATGCTCCAGCCCGGCGGAACATCAGGTCTACCGTGGTCGTTCCTCCTGGATCATCCCTTGGCAATCCCACGCCCACAACACTGGCCGAAATTCACTCCCAACTGGCGGAACTCCAGAGAGAAGTCGCAACAATCCGCGGCTCGACAGCGCAGCAGGGTTCCAGCCAACCTGTACTGCAAGTCGACGCCACACGTACACAACGTTCTCTGTCCCCAGCCTCCAACCGCGTCACCACCGCCGACGGCAAGCGCGAAGACAGCGTTATGGCAATTGAAGCGCCCTCTAACGTTCCATCCGTCTTTGCACGTCTCGGCGCCGCGCCGGTGACCATTGGATCAACACCGTCACAGCATCTCCCAGCGGTCTCTCCAAAACTACGGGAGCAACTATTAGACCCCAGCCAATTTGTCGACTTCACTGACCTTTTGCCCCAGAACCGCGTCCCGGCAAAACGCGGCCAAACGGGGACCCGCATGGCACTGGACGAAACCACAGGCGAGTATACCTTCACGTCGGCAGCAAAGAAGGAGCAGATCAGTTCCCTGGCCAGCTGGAACCGTGCCTTCTCCGTCTTCATGGCATACCGCACCTTCGTAGAACCAAAATTGACTCTTCCATTGATCAAGTACCTTGACCTCATATCCTTGATGGCGGATCCTGCTCGTGGATACAAACTGGAGCACGTGCTGGAGTACGATATCCAGTTCCGAAATTTTGCAGCTCAGTATCCCGATGATTTCGACATTTGGACCAGGCGACACGATGATTCCTTCCAGGAGACCATCGGCAATCCGCGCCAGCACATTATTCCGTCGACCACCGGAGGCGGTAACCCAAAGCACAGTCGCGCCAAATGTAACCGCTGTCATCAAGTCGGTCACATAGCGGCAAACTGCAACGAAAACCAGGCCAGCGATCCAACATCCTCCGGAGCTGCAGAGATTTGCCATTAATTTAATCGCGGATTTTGCTCGACGCCCTGCGTGAACGGCCGTAAGCACACTTGCGCCACCTGCGGATCGAGTGCCCACGGAGACTACAGCCACGGCAGAGCGGGCAACTCACACGCACGGGATGACAACGCCAACGAAGCCTGACCTCCCTGCTTTGTCTTGGCCATCCTAACCCCCACATCTTTACTAATCCTGTTACCAAAGCGCCATCTACGCCCTCGCGAACCGGAACCGGAATTTACTGACCAATCTCAGCGGCTCCAGCTTTCCGGCTTCCGCTTGTTTGGGGTTTTCTTTGGGGTTTGAGGTGCAGGGAAAGGAAACCGGCAAGCGCGCACACCGGCAGGTGCGCAGGCGCGCACATACCAGGTGCGCAAGCGCGTACACACCAGGTGCGCAGCCGGAGCTTCACCGATTCCCAGCCGAGAACTTCCACATGCCCACTTCGCTCTCCCGCCATGGTAAAAGATACATGAGTAGCAACACATTAATTGTGCCATTTTCCGACCAAATCCGGTTTTTAGGAGATGACGCGGATTCGAAAGTGGGGTCGCCACTTAGCATCTGGTCGTCATAGTAATACAGCCTGCCGGCTGCGTCCACCGCTTTTGCGGTCAATTCGGATCGGCGTTCTTGGAGAATTGGTTGGCTGAGGCCCGCGGTCCATCCTGAAACCAACGACGTCAAAAGCAGACAGTAATAATTTATTGTCTCGTGCAGCGGGACTAACGCCCCTCACAACTTGAGTCACAAGCCAAGATCACCCATTTTAAAGAGCGTGTGTTTCTATCTAGGATAATGTAGTTACTGTAAATTAGCTGTTAACGAAGTAAAACCTTCAGGCCTAAGGGCATGCATATCGTTGTAATGCCGTGGAAACAAATGACATTGTAAAGGTAAATACTAGTATGACCTTGCTAAGCCGTTAACATAATTATGTATCTAATAGTCACATAAATCAGTTAATAACTACCGGGACAAGAGAACACGACAATCACCTTAATAGCAGTTGTTACTTTGTACTGGGGGATTATTTTACTGGGTTATTCCAATTAACATTGGTGAAACACAAATTACGCGTTGCCTTATTTCAGCGAATCATACACTTCATCCAACCTTTACCAATGCAGAACTTTTCCTGTACACAAGCAGCATAACAAGCGGATTTTGGATTTTTGCTATACTTTGCTATACTTTAGACGCCCATAAGAACCTAAGAACCTATAAGAGTCTGTATTACGAATAGATTTCTGGATGATTTGTTAGCGCTAAGTTATACTTTTTATAGTCTTCCCCTTTTTATCACCTTTTCCCCACATGTTTTATATGGAACCGGTTCTTTTAGTTTGGAGCTGCAGTCCTTCTGGGTCTTACTTTTCTGCGCATAAGTGTGTTTTGTTAGCTCGTAATCGTGTAACAATTCTTTTCTGCGGGAGTACACAGCGGAAAGTGAATGTTACCGCGAATAACATGAGACAGCCTCACACTGCGATAGATTTGAAGTCTACTAAGAATTTGCAAACTAATTTGCCGCGCTTACCTTCCATAAGAGCAAAGTCTGCGTAGTGGGCCGGCTTTCTGTCAGCACAGCATTCCTGGGAAGCGGGTGCTGTTAGCAGCGATGCCTCTGGCTTTACTTGTTTCTCACAAGGTGGAACGTTGATTGAATAATTACGTTGATGGACGTTTACTGCCGTTCGAACACTGTTATTTTGAGCATTGGCACAGTCAACAGGTAGATACAGGGCATCTTTTCTATAGCACATCCACTGTTGTGGTATTCCGACTTCAAATTCTTCGAACGCAATGGGAATAATTATCGCCCCGCTGGATGGTATTTTTTTGCTGCAAACTGACTTGGCGCTGACCTTAGAGTGAACCATGTCCACGGCATACCAGATGCGCATGTGATCGATCAGTTGCGACTGCAACCACCTTCGGTACTGACGGAATTCACAGCCACAATGCAGCTTCTGCAGATACTGATGGTACGCGGATGGGGATGGAGTGCTTAGCATTTTGCTGGCATCGAACTCCAAAGAAATAATTCGGAGATTCGATAAAGCAGCAAATACGGATGGATTCATGCCGTTTACGGTCGAATTATTGAACAGTAAAGTAAATAGATTTGGAACAGCATTGAAATCTTCTGCTTGTACGAGAATATCTGGGCAATTATGAACGACAAGCGACATGAGATTCCCCAGACTCAAATCCGCCAGTTTTGCCGTGGGGTAACTGTCCACACAGTCATACAGATATAAAACTAGAATCTGCGCTCGGATTGGCGCAAAGGCTCGGTAGACTATATAATCCCCGTCAGACAGGGACACGTCCACCCGGCGTATGGGCGGTTTAGCCAGGGCGAAACTAATTTCCTGCATCTCCCGCACCGTAGTATTAGACCAGCAGCTAATTTGTAAGCTGCGCAGGGAACTCCGATACAGTTTTCGACAATAGTCCGTTTTCGTGATCATCGCTTCCCGTTCGTCGGGTGAAGGAGAGATAAACTTATTCGGTTTGCAGGACCTTCCAAACTGCATGATGCACTGTGTCGGATCAATTCGAGTACCGGAAAAGGGTCGCCGGAATTTGAAGCTCTCGTAGGTGGCATTGTACGTGCCGGCTAGACAAAGTGGTTCATGGAGCGAAAATTCCTTCTGGGTGAAGTTAATCATAGTAAAGTCAACCGGGAACGGTTGCGCTGCACAGTCCAGTGGAATGTAGACGTCGTTTTGTGCAATCCCTATATTGCCCCATTCGGCGCCGTAGAATAACACAGAACGCGACGGCACGGCTTTCAGCATGTTTTTCTGTTTAAGCCATTTTCTCAGCCAGCCAAACTGGCAACCACAGTGAATTCGCTTCAGATAATCAATTTGGCTCTGAACGAAGTAGGGAATGCTGTTAATACCATCGGCAACGCTTTTGCCAAAAGCGGTTGAAAGGTTGTGGTGCCACGCAATAATTTTCAGCTCTGGTAAGTTCGTAAAAGTACCTTTCTCTAAGTACAAGATTGTTGCGTGGTTGAAAATAATCACTTGCAACTTTAGCAAAGACTGAAAATCCGATTTTTTGATACGCATGTCCCAACAGTTGATCAGCATTAACTGTTGCAGATTAATAAACGAGAATCTGGGCAGAATAGCCGTTGGATTACGCACGAGGCAGGTTTCTGTCGCTAAAGAAATAATCTGTTTGTCAACGGGCGACAATATCGACGGTGTCACGTGTCTCCACATAAGCCAGATAATTAACGGTCGCAGGGGCGCTTTTGCTAAAGCAGCTGTCGTGGCGTGTACATCGGTATACATGGCTGACTCGTTACACTGGATGTAGAAAACCGTATCATGGCTGCAGTTATCACGGTTAACGGACGGATTGCTACAATAGCCATTAAACTGCAGTGCACACTGTTCAGCGGTCATCGGTGCTGTGGAGAAACCGGGAAACGATTGCTCCCCCTCATCGGTCTCCTGGTCCTCCTGGCTGACCTGACATTTATAGGCGTTGCGCAACTTCGCGGCATCGCGCACGCTTAAACCGTCGCGTTGACCCATGCGATAGATGCCTTTTTGCCTGGGAATGATGACCGGGTGGTCCGTAGATTTAGCGAAGTCGTACGGACCGTAGTGCATAAGGGAATTCAGATCGTAATCTGTTCCGAAGGTTGGCATATTGGGGATAATACGATACTGTGATTTGTGACTATTCATAATCTCGTTTTCGTAGATGATCACACTGGCATTCCGATCACTCCGACTGTGCTCGTGGAACAGTCCGAGTGCGTGCAGAATTTCATGCTGGATTATTCCCATCTGAATGCACCTGGCCGGGTCCAAAAAGACGGGCTGCATGCCACCATCGGCCCGCATGCCCACGTAGGACGAACAACTGAAATGCTCAAACCGAGTCAACGGCAGAGTAATAGATCTGTTCACTGGGTTAATGGCATTTACTGGTAAATTACTTGTAAATTATTTTGTTAGTAAATTGGAATTGTTCAGTGTGTTAAGGATTCTGCTACAGTAGTAAAATGCGGGACCTGGGATACAGTGACTGGTATTAATGCGTCACTAACTTTCATTATGCAGTAAACGCGCACCCGGACAATTAGGAGTGTGACATTTCGCCGCACTCAAACTCGACGCGCGACTTTTCGCCGCGAAGACGTTTTGCCGCCGGACATTGGGACGCTGGGACACTTCGCTTGGGGACATTATGCTTTGAAACATTTTACCCTCGCGACATTTCGACGCAAGACATCTGGTCGCGGACGATTCGTCTTGGGAAATTTCGAACGATGCGACCTATCGCCGCAAAGTAATTCACCGCGCTCAATTCTCAATAGTTTTTCAGTTTTTTAAGCTTGTTCTAAGTTTTTCTTAGGCTTCCCTAGTCTTTCTTAGACTTTCATAGGCCTTGTGCTTTTTTAGATATTCTTAGGTTTCTTTGGTCTTTTAGGTTCTTTAGGTTTTTTAGGTTTCTTAGGTTTCTTAGGTTTTTTTCCTTTCTTTGTTTTTTTAGGTTTCTTAGGTTTCTTTGCTTTCTTAGGTTTTTTAGGTTTCTTATGTTTCTTATGTTTCTTAGGTTTCTTGGGTTTCTTGGGTTTCTTGGGTTTCTTAGGTTTCTTGGGTTTCTTGGCTTTTTTTGGTTTTTTAGGTTTCTTAGGTTGTTCGCTTGATTTTGTTTTTCTTTTATTTTTCCTTATACTGACTCTAGTAGTTAGCTTAGTAAATTATTTATCGGTTAATCGAAATGTCGCTTCGTCGAGATATCCTTGCGGCGGAATTTCCTTGCGTCGAAACGGCCATGCGACGGAAAGTCTCGCGGCGTAAAGTCCTCCCGACGAAATGTCCTGCGACGAAACGTCGCGAGGCGAAATGGCCTTGCGGCGAAATGACTGCGACCGAAAGTCCTGCGACTAGTTGTCCGCGGCGAAATGTCGCGGTGCCAGTAAACGGGTACTACTGGTAGTACATCTAGGAAGTCCACTGTAGATCATCAACAGCAGATAAGTGGGTGACGTAATTTTCTAACTGTACCAATCTTTCATTAGACAGCCTACTTTTCTCCAGGAAGGAAGTGGATGAAGTTCGCTTCCGCCTGTCTTGCCGTAAACGTAACACAGTGAAATGTTTTGCGCTCGATGATTGCCATTGCTTCGTGAATAAGAAATTGGTCTGGAGATCCTGCAATCAATAGCTGCATGCGATATAACCGTAAACGGGTAATGATAATAAATTAAGAACGAGTCATTGTACGCTACATTGCAGCTGAATATAAATTAAACGCGACCAAATTAGGCGGTTCTGACCAAACTGTTGGCTCATTTGATATGGTATCTTTCCGTTCGGCCACAGTACCAGAGGCAGACTTCCTGCAAGAAAAGCATTGAAGGGCGTGAATCGAGCAGTACGGGATAATCTTGGAGGGACCATACATCATCCTAACTGTCGCCTTATAACCCTTGTAACCGGCCAAACCGTCCAGACGGATGAACCGTGCGTCGGACCTATTGCATATAAGCCGACGACACCATCTGCCGGCCCAAGAAAACGTTCGCCGCAAATTTTGCTAACGCAGTTTTTTCTAAGTTTTTGATCTTGTTAATTTTGCCGACCTCGATTTCTACCTGGGCAGGTTTTTCAAATTATGGTTTCAGAGGCGGAACGTTTTGGCGGACGGTTATTTCTTCCGAGGCAAACAGTTTTGCCGAACTGTGTTTCGGGGGCTGAACAGGTTTGCTCAGTTTGCTGGACGGTGTATTCGAACACGAATCATGGGTTTTCCGGAGTGTGATTTCAGAGGCGGACGATTCTGTCTGACTGTGTTTTCAATACGGACGGTTTTACAGGTTTACAGACAACATCGTCCGGCGGGTGGTTCATCCGGCCGAACGGTTTTGTCAGTTGCAAGCCCAATAGGTTACAAGTATTTTGAACTTCTCTCTGAGGTCTCCAATGATGAGGTGAGGACAGGTGCGATGGGCTAAAGAACCAATACCGGCATGCACGGTAGCCTTCGATAGTTAGTACAGAGTAGTGACGGTTGCAGTTTGTCTGAATGCCGTGCTAGTTGCGCATTTTGTACACCAGAGGGTAGTGAGACGAAAAAGCGCACTGCAGAGAACCTCACGTCAGGGTTCAAGTTTTGGGCTTACCTGTTACGTTACTCGAATCAAGCCCGACGCTAGCATCAGCAAACATAATGTCATTTTCCAGAGTTCTGGAACCGTTTGGAGCAGACAAGCTTTCATTCATAATGGCAGGATCTATCCGGTTACGCCAGTCTATAAAGTATCCACATAGCAGTCCACGAAGCTCTCGCGTTTAAAAACATTTCACATTCAGGTAGTTTTTTTTTCGATGCTTTTCATTTTTGTTTTAAACCGTGAACTTTTAAGACTACGCAGTACATGCTAAAATCGCTAATTACAGGTTATCGCTAATTACATGTTACCAGATTGTTATACATAATAATTATTAACTATCCGTACTCGTAAGATAAACAAAATAATTTTATGTAGAAATAAGCAATGCTGATTTACCGTCCGGCAACTCATCTGGATCTGACTCATCATCTAAATCATCATGATAATCCCTGTCGTCCCAGAATCCATTGATGAACGAAACATCACCAAGGCAAATTATCAGCACATAAAGCATTTGCACACGCATTTCTAACTTCTTGTTTTTCGAGGTATTTCACTTCTAGCATTCAGGAATGTACTATAATACTGTGCTGTAATTTTGCTGCCTGTTTCAAGAGTTATGCAATCGATTTCTGTAGTTGTTAATAAATTATGTAGCTAGTAGGCAGCTACCAACATCAGCCAGATAAATGATTTTATTGTTTGCATGTAGTGGTGCACGATCAGCTGATGTCAACCGATCTGGACAAAGCGACACATTGCGCCTGGAGCAAGCTATTCTAAACGGATTGAACGCTGTTGGCTATGAATAATTGTCAATTCACGAATTACTACACCGTAATCAAGTGCGTTAGCAGTACAAAATGTAGCAATCCTGTAGTATTATTATTATGTTGTAGTGGATTATTTTTATCGCTACATAGCAGTCTTTGGACACATATACTGTAACCGGAACAGCAGCATAGTCTACATAGAACAAGAGAACAACAGGAATATTCCGAATGGACATTGGCTACAATAACAAGATGCGATCGGCTAAAGACAGACAGAAGTGCAACAAAATAGAGTAATGAATCACCCTCAGTGACACTATCATACACAGCACAGAGCAAGTCTTTAACATAAACAAGGCACAATACACAGGCAATACTCCACTAATCGCACACGCCGTAAATGGTCCATTCACACAGGCACCGCACATACCCGATCCACACGCTGGTCCAAAGTACAGTCCAGGATGCTGGCATCGTAACATCCGGTACGAATCATTAATTTTAGCATCGTTTTGAACTCTTCCAACCCCTACCACAATATTTTTGCCCATACAAAATAATGAGGTCAAACGCATATGGCATTAAAATCGTAAAGTAGGCACTGGGCTGCTGGGTATACCAGTGCTGTATTTCCAACAACGCGATAACAATATCAAGAATTAGTTTCGGTTGAAGAAATCAACATTTTCAACCGTACCAGTAACAGAAGCGGCATTACCCCTTTGAATTGCTAATGAAATATTCTGCCTTAAAAACTCATGGCTTCTTATCTCGCCGGTTTGTGACTCGATCCTCTTTCCGACTTCTCTGAGCAGCTTCTTAGCCGATGTACCAAAACTACCAAAAGTCTCGAAACCGACGGCAGCAAACTCATATCGTCCTGACAGGAAGCTGTACTTCTTCATTTTTTCCGCTTCAGCATGGTCGGCTGCCGCTCCGGCCTTTACGCTGGTTTGATCCACATAAGAGCGGGCGACAGTGTCGACGCAGGTTACATCCCATGCTAAGCATAACCCACGGGCCCAAGGGAAGGTAGTGATTCCATCTGGGCGTGTGTCATTTTCGTAATGCATTCCTCTAGGTTCCGTTCGCGCGGGGATGCCTGCCGAACCCAAAGCCCGACGCAAAATATCGTTGATGCAGTCGTGTCTTGGCCGTCTTCCAGCAGAAAATTTGCAGCTTAAACCATGGTGGCCGTTAGCGGCGACATCGGTACCACACCGATGTCGCCGCTAACGGGTATTACCTCTTTCGTAACCTCCCACCATGAATGTATCTCAAACCTAAGCCTGTTTACGCTTTGAATGGCAACGTATGTACAAGTATTTCAACATTTTTTATCTGATCTTGTGAGTTAACATGGTTGATTACGTTTTATTGCTATTGAAGAGGTGCCGGCGTACCGCGTAAAAATTTACTGTTTCCTAAACCTAATAAATATTAAGCCGTAGTATATAATTATGGTATATAAGATCACTAAATATTAAGCCGTAGTATATTAAGTTCATGTTGACAGTTTGGACGCTTTATGTGAGTCGCAGTTGAAGGCACGGCGCGGTCTGTTGCATCCGGTAAATTGCTTAAGCACTGTCTCAACAGCGCCACATAAATTATGCACTTAATTTTCGCTATGACTGTCATTCATGGGAATAATTAAAACAAAGGGTTATCAATACTCGTTTAGCAGCAGTATTCAGCATTTATCGGAAGAAATTTTGCTGCTTTCCACAGGCCCACAATCTTTGAGTGACGGTACGGATGTCGATGTGTAAACCGGTGTCGGTACTGATGCGGAAGACGACAGCTGGGAAGCGCTTCGTGCCTGAATCTTGGTGTAATTCTTGTGGTACTTTATGCCTTTGCTAGCTAAGGAGTCTATCAAATTCAGCACCCCTGGTATATGATCCCACCAACTGCCTCGGCTGCAGCTCCTTTTCATTTCAATTTCTTGACGCAGTTTGTCGACGCAGTGTTGGGCTTCGAGCCGTTCGCGATCCATTTGCGATTGGCGGCGCTCGAACTCGGCTTGCTCTTTTGCTATTTCGGTGCGCATAGCCTGACGCTCCGTTTCGCGCTGTTCGGAGAGGCTCTGAAACTTATGCTCCATGTCCTGTATTGTATTTTCATGCCGCTGACGGTCTGCTACGGCTTCAGCTTCCATAGCGCTAAGTTCTGCTTCTTTAGTCTGTAACGACTTCTGGTAATCATCCTGGGCTTTCAGTCTAGCGTTGTTTTGCGCTACTAGAAGCTCAAATTCCTTTTCAATTGCGTCATCTAATTTTTGTAAATACAGGTTTGCGCGAGCTCTCTCGTTGATATAAATCGGCGCTTGACTTTGTTTCAGTTTCGCTTGGGATTTTGACGCGGAATGGTGGGTATACAAAGCATCGTTGGTCGGTGAAGTTTCCATAATCTACAAATAAAGGTGTTATTTAGTGTTGGTGAGTATTAAGCAACAGGTGAACAACTATCGCTCGAGAACTCCTTTAAGCACTTTATACAGACAATCGGCAAAGTTAATTAACAGAAGCCGGATCGGAAATTTACCTTGTAAATTTCGGCGCGATATTCTGCCAGAGCAGTTTCCATTCCCGCTTCGAATTCAACGCGTATCATGGTCTGTAATTTGTGACAGCCGCATTTTACTGTATTCTCATCCGTACGATGCATAAATGATAAACCAACTGCGAGATAATAATAATCATTGTTGTCTTACCTCCAACATGTTTTCCGCTCGTGGAATGCTGTCGCTCTCGAATAACTCCGTTATGCTCTGAATAGTTAAATTATATTAAAGCAGTTTTCGGTTGTGGTGCTTTTTAGAGTATCGTATCAGCATTTGTTTCATATTTTATGTGGAGGTACTACCATACTAGAATGATGGTAGTGGATGAGAGCAGTTCTCGTAAAAGACAAACGATACGGATTTCGGCAGAGCGAGCAACAAGCAATTACCTTAAAAAAACCGGCGAACTCTTGGCAGGTATATGTGTCGCCGCGACGCTGGAAAGGTGCAAGCTTGGAGCCAAGAACTTCTTGCAGAAACAGGGCGATATGTTTCTGGAACTCTGGGAAAACAGCTGAAACAGTAGAGCCACAACGTCACAAGATGGTAACGTTTACGGCAATATTTTCCTGTGCGTAATATATTGTGTCATACATTGCGGGGTTATCGTAAATGACTGTTCGTCGGGATCGGCCGCTAATTTGGGCATTAAAAATCCACGTAGAGTGCGAAAGGCTTTTGTAACTTGCTTAATGGTGTCCACATTTTTTTGTTTCTGTTTCTGCAGATTTTGCTGCAACAGAGGAGATGTACTGTATTATTTTATTGCGAAAAGTTTTCCAGCCAGTTTAGTCTTGCAGCCCTTGTGTGATTTCTTACAAAAAGCGATAAACAAACAAACGGTCGAAATTCTTATCCTGACAAACCTGAAGCTGCATGTCTCCGTCTTTCCATCCAGGCTGAACGTCACCCAGCATTGCATCTCGCGTCAAAATCACAAGATCTTGAAAGACTCTCTCCTTTCCTGCACAAAGGATTAAAACACAGTAATATACGGGTGCACTGAATATTTTTCTTGACAACGATTTACAGCATTACGATTCACGCTATCTTATCCATTTCATCACAACCAATAAAGCGTTTGCGCTCATTGTCGCATTGTATACTGCCGCTCTTTTGAAGTTCAAATAACTCAAAAGGTTGAAGTTCTGTGTAACATTATGATACTGACCAGGGTAGCGTCACCGGCTCCCCTCTCAGAAAAATTTTATTTTTTGTAGTATGACAGAGTAACAATAGGGTATGCCTAAACAAATAATTTCATCTGCTATGATCAGCAAGCCGTGGCCAAACAAAATTTTAAAGTTAAAGATTTGCTATGTTACAGCCTATAGCCAATGCATTGCTTCGTACCTTAAATAAGTACTTCTTACCCTATCATACGAGGCTTATGTGCGCTCAGTATTCTCTGTTTCCCGTTTCAGAAACGGGCTAGTTAATTGTTATTTAGGCAGTTAATTATTACTAGACTGGGCAGTTATCACTATGTTTACACATAGATCTGCACGTCGATTTTCGTGCTAGCAGTACCGATAAGTGCGAAAACTGACAGTGCGCCATGAAATGGAATTATAAGCGTCTGCAAATTTATCTCTTAAAAAATAAGTTAGTTACCGTCTACTGGTGCTTCGGAAACAAAAACTGGTTAACAGAGAATATTGGACGCACATAAGCCTCGTACGATAGGGTACGAAGTACGCATTTGAAGTACGAAGCAATGCATTTGCTATAGGCTATAACATAGCAAATCTTTAACTTTCAAATTTTGTTTGGCCACGCCCTGCTGATCATAGCAGCTGAAATTGTTTTTTAAGGCATACCCTATTGTTACTCTGTCATCCTGCAAAAAAATGAGAGGGGAACCGGTGACGCTGCCCTGTGAGACAAGTAGCTTCAGAAACTTACCTGTATAAAAACTGTTGCGGATTTTTGATGCCAACTTAGAGAAAACGGCAAGGGTCTTCAGGCTGTCGCTGCCCATGACTCGCATGATGTTGTATATCTACAAAGTACTTACTATAGGTACGCTTTCCACCGTTATACTGCAGGCAGCACTAATTTTCTCATCCGGTTACCCGAATTACGAGAAGATTGAGTTTTATGAATATTTAAATGTAGCCAACGAAGTTTTACAAATATTTAATTCTTAAAATACTTAGTAAAGCGACGGCGATATTAATTTCAACGTACCGTGCAGGAACAAATCATGCTGGTTAGTAAGAAAAGAGCCGAATCAAGCGAATCTTTGCTTTCATTGTCGCACAACCCTTGAGTGTCCAGGAGAAAAACAGCAATCATGGTCCCATCACTGCTGCGGATGATGTACGGGTCATTGGTTATCCAGATGCCCTGCGTACACCCATGACTGTTGGGTGACATCTTGAACAAGTTCGCGTTTGGAACTGCAGCTTCAAACAGATAGTCATTAACATCCGGAAACGAATCGGGATTCTGCTCCATCTTCAAAGTCACGGCCAAAAATATCAATTTTCAGAAATAAAATTTGCTTTCTCTGCAAGTTACCTGTACAAGGCAGCGGTGCATGATGTTATAGAGAGTGGACTTTCCCTCGCGAAACCGGCCAACAATGCCAGTCAAAGAGATCGGCATGTTTTTGATGTCGTCCTGGCACAAACGCTGTAGAAACGTCTCGACATTGGCAGCTTTTAAATCATCGTCTCCATCCTTCTCGGCTAAAGCGTAAACGGCGGTGGGTGCCATGTTGTTTTACCCGTTAGCTTTTATCGCCCTTCTTCTCACCGATTCCAACTGTTAGCAGTAGAACAGACCATCTGGGACAATACCGTGTAATCCAGACTCAAACTTTAGCAAACCGAACACCGAAGGCTTCAGACCGGGCGAAATGTAATGTGCAATTTTGCCGGTACTTGTAGTACTTTTAAGAGCGCTTACCGGATGGGTTATCTTTGATGATAAATTGTGCGCCCTCCATCAGAAACAATGGGTTAGCGGGTTTTATGCTGCTTCTTATCAGCAGCCACGCGCTCATTGTCAGTGCGCTCCCATATTTGTAAGTTCAAACTCAGAGAATGAGTCACAACAAACAAGGTAAGGAGATAAACGCTAACCTAGATTAAAAATTTAGGTGCGTTTACCGGAATATTTTGTCTTCCTTTGTCCTTTGACAATATTCAATGGATATCTTGTTTATGCATTTAATTGCGCGGCTAGTCGTGTGGATGCGTCAATAAAGTAAACAGGTGCATCAAGTGCAACGATAATTAGGCAGTCCCTTTGGTGATATCAGAAAACTGACTTTTCTTTCGAACAAATTTTCTTATAACGACAGAATTTTACTCCGGCCGTCAGCTTACAATTCTGGGATAAATTGACTTGCAGTTTGGAAACTCCTGTCTTTCTCTGCAACGAGGTATTCTCACCGTAGTCAGTAGCGCAAGCAGCCGGTTAATATTAATTTCTCAGTAGAGTTTTCGCGTTGTTCCCCAGTGCAAGCAATGGAAGAATCGAAGTTCTTAATACAGCTGGCGAAACGCAGTCCGAGTGACCAGCTAGAAATTCACGACATGAAAAAGTTCGCTCATCGTCTTCGGCAAGACGACATCCGGGATCACTTTATCTGCACCGTCGGGATCGTTGGTAAACTTCGGGAAGGCAAATCAACCATGCTAAATATTATGCATCGATATCTGGAACAGGTGCGAGTACATCAGTAACTGTTTTGGCGGTCAGCTGTAGGTATGTTTAGAAAATAAATGTCCACAAGTAATCTCATGGATAAGGATATTCCAAATTAAAAATGCATCAGAAAGATTGATAAGTCAGATTTTACGGGAACGGATTAGTAACACATCTGTAGTGGCGCTGCCTGCAGTGCCAGAAACGCGGACGAAACGAAATAACAATTTTCCTTATACTAACAAGAACAATTTCAACAAATCTAAGCGTTCATAATCCCTGGTGCAGTTCGTGTACATAGTGCTGTACATGTGCTTATAGTATTTTCGTTTATGTACTTACGTTGTTTGCTGATCAAAGGTGGCGAACGATAACTGGGGTCCGGAAGCCATGGCGTACTTGTACGAAACTGCTATCGACCATGCGCCATTCATCACATCCAAATCTTCGAGCGGCTGCACGCAAGGAATATGGATCACCAAGGATCCGTACGTTTTGTCTCATATCTCTGTTGGACCATGTGCTGTCTTTTTGCTTGATACACAAGGTCTTCTGGACAACGACAGCCGTCCTGAACTGGATTCATCCCTGTTTTTGCTGACCAGTATGATTAGTTTATTCACGGTCCGTATACTATCACATCCTGCTTTACGCAAAAGCAAGCAGTAGTACAGTAGTTTCTATCGTATTTTCGATAGAAATTCAGAATTGCATCAGTATTTAAATCAGTATTCAAAAAACACTTTAAACAGATCTTTAACGTACATCGCGGGATTGGAAAGGATCACGTGCGTTTGTTAGCCGAATTCTCTCATATAGCGACTAAAATTCACACCACCGTATATGACGGTACGAACGACTGATTTCCTAAAGTGGGGCTATCCCGTTGGGCCGCCTCAATTCCTAATTATAGGTGCTCTTTTTCTTCAGGAACTAGTTCGGTTTTCCAGCACCTGGTTGTTTTGACTCGAGACACGCTTATTGGCGTCAATGAATATCAATATGGTTGGGCTGACGGTGACAAGTATTTGAATGTGGGTACATATATTATGATAAACAGAGATGTATATAGATAATAGATGTATCCATATCTTGTCTCCACAAAGCCTGAATTAACGATTTCTCTGCTTATTTCAGAACAAAATCCGTACTCCGCATAACCTCGAGTTATTGCGGGCCATCGAGAAAGTTTTCATAAAATTAGCATGCTTTTTGGCACCGAAAATTGCAAATGATCCGGACGACGAAGCATTCCGTTTGTCTGCAGACTGTACGCACCTTGCATTGCAAAACGAGCTCATCAATATTGGCTTCTTAAGTCAAATATGCTTTATTACAGTCGTTTTGCCGGAATTTCGGGATAATATCAATACCTTCTTGGAATATCTATTCGGCCCACTGCTACAGCCGTTTCAGCGAAAATCAATACCTATGACATGCCAAATGTTTGCTGACTTTATCGAAGTAAGAACGCATTGCATTTGTGCTGAAACTGTTTAATGAGCACAGTACATGGGTATGTTTTGCGCAGTAACGTAATCGATAATTTTATCGATGCAGTGCACTGGAATTTGGAAGTAATTATGTAGGGTGACACTATAGGCACCCCAAAAACCCCCGTTTACTATAGGCACCCCTTTTCCGCACCCCGTTAATTAAAGGTACCCTTATCTTATTAATTGATTCTTTCGTGCACCCTGTTTTTTATAGGCACCCCTATGAAACTTTAGCATATTATAATGTAAGTAATTGTAGTGTTAGAACCTAGATACGATAACTATGTTCGCAAAAGTATGGAAAGGCCGACCGACGTCGATGTTATGTTCCCTCTTGTTCGACTTCAGAATGCTGGGTCGAATCAGTGTGGCTCATCACGGGCCTGACACCAGAAGATACAGTTTTACAAAAACCGAACCGCACCAAAAATGGTTAGCAGAAGCGCTGGACAAAGAGGAGGCCACCCGTGTCCGAAAAGAACCGGCAGAAAACCGGCATCCGAAATTACGATTGCGAAACGAAACATCAAAATTACCGCCGACGATGCGATGCGATCATTAGATCCAAGTTAGTAGATCAGCGACTCAGCGTCACCGCCCGATCATCGGATGAAAAGCCTGATTCTGTCTCTATGCGAGTATCTGTATGAGACTGCCGCACGTACATGAAATCATTTTCGAATTCTGTATCCGAAATAAGCTATTAAAGGGTGCCTATAAAATACACTGACAGGGTGTTTCTATTTAATAAACAGAAAAGGGTGTCTATAAATTACGGGGTGCGAGAAGGGGTGCCTATAATAAACGAGGGTGTAAGGGGGTGCCTATAGTGATTTCCAATTATGTATGTGCATAATTATATGTACTATGCACTCACTTCGGTTGTCATCCCATCAAGATCTTGGAGGTATAAGGGGATGGGAATGTGAACGTGAAGCAATGGGATTGGCTGGGCAGAGGAAAATACAACTGACATACAGTATTTACATACAGTATTTACGGCCTTACCGTGCGCATATGCGTGCGCATATAACTGTAACACGCATCCTAATTTTGCTTAACAAATGCATAAAAAACAAATGAACTGTGATAGAAGCGGCACAGCGTTCCGTAATTCCCAGAATCTTGAAGCCCACGTTTATAAATCAATCCCCCACAATATTCCGTGGATATAGAAAGAAAAAGCCTTGTATCTGTAGAGCGCAGAAATTATGCGGCATAACCGGAGAAGAGTATTTTTTATTTTGACACTTAACTACTGTACTGACACCCTGCACTCGGAGAAGTTTTGTACAGTATGAGTAGTACGGCACTGTAGCCAGAGGAAAGTAAAGCCGATTGCGTTCAGCCAGTAGCCAGCAGTTCACATGCAGCTGCAAGCTGAGTGAGTGAGCTGTGAATGCGGTCGTACAACGTACGCGTGGCTGCACAGCTAAAACTTTCTCCGAGTGCAGGGTGTCAGTACAGTATTTATTTTCGGGTAATGCGAATTATCTAACCACTTCTCAATCCCATCACGTCATCACATCACGCAGCGGTTTAATTGCTCCCCGATATTGTTTTTGCAGCACCTTGCTGAAATATTCGACAACGGGAGCATTCCAACCGCAGAAAGTATGCTAGAGGTACTTCTATGCATAAATTTGGATTTTTTCATTGGAGCACCGTTCTTAAGCGATCCGTTTGCAGCTGATGATAAGGTGTGAACTTCAAGATGCCGTTTCTACGGCTTTCGGCAGATACCACGAAAATATCTCGGCAGTAAGTTCTGACATCTTATAATTCAATCCTCGCATTCGATTTACTATGTGTACTTTTTGGAAATACGGCCTGCGCAGTTGTTGTGAATAAGATAATACGTATAATATACTATATTTGCAAAAAGTATTGAGTTTTATTACCGGAGTGCCTGGCTACATTAAACAACAAGCTTGTTTAATGTCGGTAGAAAAGTGGCAATTTACGCAAACTTGCCTGAGAATAATTTTATTTAGATTATCGTGGAGGCCATCGATGAAGATCACCTAATCGAATGTCATAAATACCACAAAGAAGAGTGCAAGGCCGAAATCCAGAGAACCGTACCGATCCTGCAACAAGATCCAATCCGCTCTGCCCCATACCTGGAAAAGTTAGACACTGATATCGATCGATTGTTTGCCTTAGTTCGTGACCGAAACCATACAAGTTTATTGGAATGGAAAAAACATGAAGCACAACGTCTACGCCTCTGCACCCAGCTGGATAATCTAGCTTTACTAAAGGACGTCGCCGATCAAAAGATCCAACAGCTGCAGACGCAAATGGACAACCTCGCGTTGAGCGGGGAAAGAGAAAGAATGTCTTTGGAAGATTACATGACTGCTTTGCAAATTCAGCGCGACGAAAAGGATGCTGAAAGCCGGGCTCGGTTGCAGGATGCCATACAGGCGGTCGAAAAGTTAAAAAATGATTTAGCTAAAGAGTAGGTTTTTCAAGAAAGGAGAGAGTTGGCGCAGATAGTGTCCAGCTCTCTGCCTTCCCTTGTGTCCCTACTGCTAACGCTGCTGAATGCTTAGCCAATTTGTACGATTTTGTTCCGTTAGCTTTTGAAACTTTTGATGTCACTGGCCCCGCATGTTTGAAGATTTTAGGCGAAATGGGCAAGCGGTTAAAGGATGCTACTGGAGAACGACGCTCTTACGAGTTTTTGCTACAGCGTCTTAGCATTGAAATAGAGCGGGGAAATGCGCTGTCGATAACGTCGACCGTTCCATCGGCTTAACGGTCTTAATGGCTGTTTATTTTGTTTTTTTTTTAATGTTTTTAACTGTGATATGTTTATAATTCTGACTGCTAACTAAACCAATAAAAGAAACATATAAGATGCTGTAATCACCGACATTTTATCATCGCAACCATTTTGTTCACATTATTTGTACTCTGTATGTGCGTCTGTGTAATCACCTTCGTGCCTGCGGTTAGACGATCCAGCAGAAAATGGCAGATAAGCAGAGGGTAACTGAATTTCACCTAATGATTTTTCACACCGTATGCCTCCAGCAATGTGCTTTTAACTTTTTTCTGTATTACAAGCTGCTTCACAGTGCACTGTCGCCTCCAATTCCGTCAGTTTTGACATGTACAATTTTATGTAGAAAACGCTCCGAAATAAAGCAGTGGTACCCCGCTGAACTTGCACCACTGTATAATCTGGCGGCTGCCTCCCGCCGCCCTCGCATTGCACCAATGGACACATCATATTATGCACCCGTTTTAATAGTACGAGATTTTTAATTCGAGAAAAAAATAGGAGACGTCGTGACTTTAGCAAAATTTTAGGGAAGCGCAAGTTCCGTTGCAGCTACAGTCACGCTTAAAACACCATCCAGAATTCCACATCCTACGGTAACCTCCAGCACCGCTGGCAGTCACATAGGAGGATAAACTGCAAACCGCGATTGGTGAAAACGTACTACAAGTGCCGCATTACCTTCATGATAGCGAGTTGCTCTACATCATTATAGTGGTTCAGCGTTTATCTCATTATGCCGAGGTACAGAGTAGGAAGGGCAACCTATGTAGGCCGGCTCCCTTGTTATTATTCTCTTGGCAAACTAAATGAAATGCATCGACTAACTTTGCAGTGCATGCCAGTATGTACCTGAACGCATTATAATATCCAACAGAAATCGAAGAATTTCCATAAATTACATGGCATGCGATGTCATTCGTTGCAGAGTTTAGTCCAACGTAACACATTTTGCTATCATCGCCATTAGGAAATCAATGCTTTTTGTAAATCCGCCTCACTAACGGTCATTGTGCAGTTTATCGATGCTCAGTCTTTTAAATGCCATGTCTGCGTAAATCATAGCGCATGCACCCATGTTACTACAGTATTACAAATAACTGAATGCTTTATTTGAACTGAATGCACGGTGAGTCGGTAACCGACGTGGTACTCAAACGGGCCAATCCTATCTCAATACCGCTATATTCATATTGATTTTACTTATCTCTCTTCGACCGTTCCCATAATTATACTGCTGTCGAACAATATGTTTCTGCTTGTCTAACAATGCATATCTTCATCCTCAGCATGACACATATAACACTTTGACCCTACATCGGGCTGCACTTGGTTGCTCACTGCGCAAGGTAATCCGTGTAACGCTAACCAATAAAAGACCAATGTTAATCGAATGCGGCAGATAGTTCGGTCCAGTATTTGTTGCATGTTTACTGCTGTTTTATCGGCAATGCGCCTTCGGACATGGTTTAATCCAAGCCGCTGCTATTTAATAACGACTGAGTGTCAAGCTGTAAGTTCACATTCGTGTAAGTATATAAATTCCATGCAGCGCTGAATCAAGATGATAGTATTAATTTATCGGCATAATTTAATGAATGTGCAGAAATGGAGTAACAGCAACTAACCTCACTGAACCCAATCCCGGGATTGCAATAGGTAAATGGAAATGGCTGCAATCGGCAATGCCGATGCAAACCCGGCAGTAGATTCTGCTCTGGGTTCTCAAAACGCCAGCCAGTCCTCCTATAGAGTAGCAGGCACTTTGAAAGTAGTGAACAATACAAGATGGATGCTGCAGCTGGAAAAGTGCTATATCAATTATGGCAAGGTCGAAGCCATTTTTGATCAAGTTCGCCCAGGGCAGTCCGCTGTAATGAAAGTGCACAAAACATCGTATTTAGCAACAGGTATGTCATAGAGAAATAAATGTGAGAGCATTTAACAATAAGTAAATGTTTGCTTGCGGTTTAGAATTCGTTAACTCGAACATTAAAAAAAACACATTTCAAATAAACAATGAAATCGAAAAACAATAACTGCTCAGAATAATCGATTTTACTATTTTGGAAGCCTATTTACTACTGGATAGTAAATTCTAACACAGAAAGGGACCACCCGTCTTTAAGTAGTAGATTTTTCGTCCATTCGCGGACATCGGGCTGAGAACGTTTCTACCGTAACCCTTGTTAGGAGAAATAGATAGACTTCCCATTCCAGATAGACTTGGCAGTGTTGATGCGGTTAAAGATAGTCGGTGATGCTTTGGTTCAGCACGCTTTGTTCTGTTAATTTGCGGTCATCACACCTTTCCATTCAGTGTAGTCTGATGTACATCTTTATATGTAACAATCTGTAGATTGTGTTGTATTTTTTTTACGCAATGCTCTGTAATCTGTATCTGCAGGATCATCGGGAACGCTTGCATGGACCGTGGTAAACGAGAACAAATCGATCGTTGTCATGTGGTCACTACCATTTAATCACGACTTCTCCCATAACGTCTTGGCGGTCGGTATTCGCTCGAATAACGGAAATAACGAGAATAACGGGAACACGTCTAACACCTTTAGGGAAATGTACTCCGAAAATGAACAGTCATACTTTAGGAGAAAGGAGTTTTACAGGTAAAGATATTCATATTAATTTTATTCTTCTAGAGATTTTGCATTTGCCACACTAGAAGCATGGAAAAATTAAAAACAGAGACAGTAAACTATATCGTTTTGTTTTGGACAGAAGATCAGGTACAGTTATCAAGGCTAGTGCGTTGTTTGGCGTGATTAAGCAGCATGAGAATATTTACATTTGGTAGCGTGACTCGGAGATGCTTCCATAAAAATTTGCGCTATGAATGATATGATATGAAAGTATTCCATTTAACTTATTTGTTAGTGTCATCGATCCAGTCGAGCACATGGATAACAGAGTCAAAGTGCGGGGCAGAATGGGAAACGCTCATAAAACGGACATCATCATTGATGTCCACGCTATCAATCCTGCGGACCAGTTTGGCTACGTGCAAGATGGCTTAATGTAAACGATGGATGGACTATGGCATGCCCAGACTCAACCAACCAACCACGTAGCACAACGCTTCTGGAATCCACGTTCCCAACTTTTTCGGAACGGAATCCTGACAATCCTTGCATGACCCTTTTCATAGTTGGCGTCCCAATGCGGACCGCAAGACTACTTATGTTTAGTTCTTTCTTACCGATAAACCGACTAGAGTGGCCGTAAATGAAATCTACTGACCGATGTTCGAAACAGGTTTGTTTTCCGATTAAAAACTGTCTTACTGGGCAGCAAGAATTTAACATACGCCAAATCTCTGACTGAAATTGTACAGACTCTGTACTATAACTGGCCACTCCGAATTGACATCTTACCGGTACATCAAGTTACCGATCATGATTGCAGTTACCCGTTATTGGTGTATCCTAATAACAGGCTATTAAGCAGTTCACACCGAAAAAGCGACAATGCAACGAACACAAACAAAGTGTCCACGGATTATTGTCCGCTGCGTTTACGATAAACATTAAGGTCATATTCCTTCTGCCATCATTTTAAAGATTTATTGGCCATTGTCGGCGGCACCTTACCGATCGAAATGATAAGAACAATAATTATTGCATGCGTACTCTGTAAGTGCAATGAGTGAATGAACACCTACCCGCGCACGATACGTTCAGTTTAATGGTGTTAATCCGTTCAGTGGTAGTTGATTATCATCGAGTTATATACAATGTTACATAACTAGCTTAGTCATGTACTGATGTTAACCTATGGTCATATATGTTTTCTCCTATGGTCATGTACCTATGGTCATAGTCCATGTTTTTGCCTTTCTCATGCCCTTGTGCGCCAGATGTACTGACAATGAGTGATTGTCTGATATTAGGCCGTTTCCCTGGATGTCCTGTTATTTCCGGCTTAGGTCGTTATATAAGCCTATGTTTACTTGTTATTTGTTAGTTCTTAGCTGAGTATTATTAAAGTGGCTAAAACCCGATATTCATTACGCCTTACGCATAGTGTAAGCGTATCATTGGTGCCGAATGCAGTTTGAATACCGTGACCTTTATTACGGTCGTATCGTGGCAGTAGTCTTATGTCAGTTAAGGAGAAAGGTGATTCTTTTGCCAACCTATTATCGGACGACGAAGATAAACCGGTTGTGAGCGAGTCATCGACTGTGAGGACTACGATGCCGGCGACAGGCGACGTATCAAGTGGGCGGCCGACCTCGGCCATTTCTGTGAATGCCCGGGATTTGGCGGACGTGATGTGATCGCTAGCAGTAGCGAAAGACGTGCGACCGCCAGTGTTCACAGGGAAAGCCGGTGAGAAGGTTGCGCAGTGGGTTCGTAGGTTCCGAACTGTTGCGCAGACGTTGGAGTGGGACGAGCGAAGCAACTGACGCAAGTCCCAGTGTACTTGACTGGCCATGCGGGTCAGTGGTACAACACGGTGTCGGAGGACGGGATGAAGCCCTACACGACGTGGAAGGCTTTCAAGGACGCCCTGCTGGCACGTTTCCAGACTGCAGGCTGGAAGTTGCAGCTGAAGCTGAAGATTAGTCAGTGTAAGTTGCAGAAAAGTGAATCCGTTGGAGGTTATTAGAATGACATGGTTGACCTATGCTATGAATACGATTCCAAAAGGGATGACCTGGACGTCCTCAAGAAGCTGCGGAACGGACTTTACCCGGAGATCGACAAGATGTTAGTCACCTCCGCAACCAAGACGCCTCAAGGATTCTTCGCGAACCTGCAGAAGGCGGCGCAGTTTTTACGACGGCAGGAGCAGGTCATCCAGCGACAGCAGGCGGCAGATCAGCGTGCCAACACCCATTTTCGTCGAAGCAGCGATAAGCCAGAATTTCATTCTAAAATAACCGCTGCTGACTCCAACCACAGCGACGGATCAAAACCGGCACGAACCGGGAACGTGTTGACCACACCACGTAAAGATAAGTCCTGCTGGAACTGCTGGGCAACGGATCATTTGCTCCGGGATTATCCGATGCTGTCGAAGGACGCCAAGGGAGCTGCGCCGAGGGCGGGACTCCGGATGATGCGCGGAGGCGCAATGGACCGTACAGCCAGGGACGACCAGACATTGGAGGCGGCAGCCACGCTGGCCGCTATGTACGGGGCGGATGCCGGCCGTGCGGCGTATGGGGCAACGTCGTGCGAGTATGTGTACCGTATGATAGACGGATACCCAGTTGCGGTGTCAGCAGGTACGTGCCTCGGGTGTATTGAATGCGCGACATTCCGAAGTCAACGTTAGGACACTACTGCGGCGCATGAGCTGCGCGTGTATCAGGCCGAAGTGGAGGACGAAGCGCAGTCAACCGATGAGTCCGATACGATCAGCATTTATGCCGACTCAGTATGTGAACCGCGTAATCGGCGTGGATCAGCCGACAGCACCGCTTCAGTAAACGGGGACGCGCTGCATGCAGGCACACAGACGGAGGCCGGCTTGTGCACGGGCGGCACGTCCAGTGTGGCAGTACAGGTTAACACGGTGTTGAAGCGCAGCATCCAGATAAAGGTGCCGGATATTACCAGCAAGGATGGATTCAAATGGCGCGACAGGTCGATTGATATTGAGTTTAAATTTCATAAAGACACAGTAAAGAATTACGTCCACCTTGAAGCGGAGATTTTCTGTCGCATGAGTTTGTGGCAGATGACGGATGTTTCCAATTATGGGAAAAGTTTCCGTGCAAGCGCCCTCTCTACACGATGATGTGTACGTCTGGTGATGGGAGCGAAGGTCGTCATGCTGTGCTCGGAACGCACATGTGCGTGGATGTGACCTTGAACGCACAGGCTGCACGTGCCTTGGTGGACACCGGTGCCAACTTCTCCGTTGTGAACCGGGGCTTCTTGGAGCGGAAGCTGGATGTCATGCCGGACCCACTGATGATGCCTTTAGAACTGGGTGACGGGAGTACGATCCGTATAACGGGTAAGATCGTACTCGATGTTGCGGTAGCAAACCAGAAGCTGCCGGTGGCTTTTTGTGTTTTTGACAATGTCAGCAACGAGGGATACGAGTGCGTGCTGGGATGCAACTTCCTGCGCCAACCCGGATGGCTGGTGGATGTGTGCAGTGCGGCGCTCTTGTACGTGGGGCAGGATGGTACCACGGTCACGCATGGAGGATGTGATGACGCGATGGTGACGGTACTTGCAGCCCCGCCCGGGAGGCGGTCATGATGCCGGCGGCGGCCCTGTGCGCCCGGATGACCGCGGATCAGGGATCCATGCTGACGACACCACGGGTGAATCAGCTCATGAAGTATGGCGATCCAGATGCTCCGGAGGATGAGCTGACGATGTGGGAGCACGACTGGCCGCGCCGTCCTATTTCGGATCTTGACATTGGGGATGCGGATACTACCGACGGGGTGAGTCGAATAACTAAGTTGATTGAGAAGTACGGTGACCTTTTTCATACTGAGGGCCGTAAGATGGGTCAGGCTAAGGTAGAGCCGTTCTGTATTGACCTGATGCCGGGTACGGAGCCGAAGTTTCTATCAGTACCGGTATGCCCCGCCGGAAGTCGCAGAGATTAACCGGCAAATTAGCGCTATGATTGACAAGGGTGTGATTAGACCGTCCCGCAGCGACTGTTCTAGTCCGATTGTCTTGACGCGCAAGGATCATGCGCGCAGCTGGCGCTTATGCAATGACGTCAGGGGTGTTAACAGTATAACGATTTCTGATAAGTACCCGCTTCCGCGTGTGGACGATTGTTTGCAGGCGTTGTCTGGCAACGGTATATCTCCACGTTGGACTTGGTATCCGGTTACTGGCAGATGCCGTTAGCGGAAGAGTCTAAGCCGTTGACAGCCTTCCAGTCGCCCATGGGGTTCTACGAGTAGAAAGTATTGTGCTTTGGGCTCAAGAATGCTCCATCGTACTTCCAGCGTACCATGACGACAATCGTGGGGGACCTCATCGTTCAGGGCGTCGTGACGGTCTACTTTGATGATGTGATCATCGCGACGTTTACGTTAGAGGAGCATGAAGAAGTATTGGAGGCGCTGTTTTCTCGATGCCGGGAGATCGAGTTAATGTTCAAACCAGAGAAATGTCACTTTCTCAAAGCGACAGTCAATGTGCTGGGATTCACGGTAACGCGGGAAGGCGTGGTGGCCGACCCTGAAAAGGTACGTGCCATACCGATTTTCCGGTTCCCGCAAATCTTAAAGCCGTACGTGCTTTTTTCGGTCTAACCGGGTGTTACCGGCGCTTCATCAAAGACCATGCGGCGTTGGCCTGTCGGCTGTACGAGCTGACAAAGAAGGACGTGCCGTTCGTCTGGGAGCAGCTGCAGGAAGGGGCATTCGAGGCGTTGAAGGATCGTCTCGTTTCGTCGCCAGTGTTGGGTCAGTTTCACGTATCGCGACCGGTGGAGATTCACCCGGACGCCAATGGATACGCCATTGGAATGGTCATACTGCAGCAGGATTCCGATGGTGTCTTGCGTGTGCTGGCTTATGGAAGCCGCCGCTTGAACGCTGCGGAGCGGAACTACAGCATCACGGAGCGGGAGTGTCTGGGTATCGTCTGGACCGCAGATAAGTTTCGTTACTATCTGTTAGGTCGTGTAGTGACGGTCATCACTGACCACCATAGCTTGTGTTGGTTGGTGAACATTCAGTCTCCCAGTGGGCGCTTGGTCCGGTGGGCACTTCGACTCCAAGAGCTCGACTTGGTGATTCGACACAAGAGCGGAGCGAAGCATGCCGACGGAGATTGTTTGTCTCGGTACCCACCGGCTACGGAGAACGGTGTGCTGGCTGTGATGGAGGTGCGTGAGGAGACGGGCCTCACCACGCAAGCGATGTTGGATGCACAGTCCAACGACCCTTGGATTCAGGAAGTGATGGAGCAGATGGACTCGGTGAAGAGCGTTCAGAAGGTGTACGCTGTGAAGGACGGGTTGCTCTATCGCGAGTGGAAGAGTCAAGGTGACAAACACTTACTGTTAGCCGTACCGAAAGCGTTACGTTTTGAGGTGCTCGCGTTCTCCATCATGATCCCATGGGCGGACAACTCGGGTTTGCCCGGACCTGGGACCGAGTGCGGAAGCGATTCTTCTGGCCTCTAGCGATCAACTTTACGGAGCAGTACGTGGCGTCTTGTGCGCCGTGCGAGGCACGAAACCGCCTGACTACGAAGGCGGCCGGACCGATCCAGTCGTTCTGTCCGGAGCGGCCGTTCGAGATGATCGCCATGGACTTTCTGGGGCAGTTGCCCAGATCCAAGCGTGGAAACCAGTATATCCTGGTAGTGACTGACCTTTTCACTAAATATGTATTGGCAGGCACATTCCCGGTCCAGAGTGCGATGACGGTGGCGAAATTCTTGGTTTTCAAGGTGTTTCTGCAGCATTCGTTTCCCTTGCGGATCCTGAAAGATCAGGGGACACCGTTTGTCAACCAGCTGACCAGTGACCTTTACAAGATACTGGAGGTGAAGCGCGTTACGACGAGCGGATATATTCCGCAAACCAATGGCTCGTGCGAAAAGTACAATCAGACGCTTGCGCATATGATGTCGAAGTTCATAGACGCTGAACAGCGCACCTGGGACGAGGTGCTGCCGTTTGTGGTGTTCGCAACAAACACCAGTAAGCACGACACGACGAAAGAATCGCCATTCAAGTTGCTGTACGGAAGGGAGCCGACGCACCCGGTCGACATCGCCTTTCCGACGGTAGCTGATGCGCTCTTGTATGATGTCGGAGAGCGGATGGAGGCGCTTCATGCCAAGGCGAATGCGCGCATAGAGGGGAAGCAGAACTACCTCTACGCCCACGACGATCACCCGGAAGTGACTTACAAGGACGGGGATTACGTGTTGGTTTTCAACCCTGCCGGAAAGCGCGGTAAGGCGGCCAAGTTACTCAGCCGTTTTTACGGTCCCTACCGAGGGCTTAGGCAAACGTCGCCCGTGAACTATGGAGTCAAAACTTGTGGGATTCGGAAACGGAGGAACGTTTTCGTCACCCACGTGTCCAAGATGAAGCTGTTCTAGGATCGCAACGAGATGTTCGTTGACTTCGAGGGTAAAGACGGCGAAGGACGGATTCCTGTCGCGCGTCCCAAGCACGCAGTGGCCCAAGACGAGGCCCTAGAGACGGCGGTGGAGGAGGAGCCGACTCCCGACCTCATGGCCGGCCCTGAAATTGCGGCCCCCGTGGTGACACCTGTTGTGCCGGAGACGCAGTCCCCTATGGTAACTGAGGTGGTGACAACGGCGGAGGCGGAGACACTCGCGCCGTTGACTCGTGAAAACTCGGAAACGGAACTGCGACGCTCGGGTCGTGAGCGTAGGGAACCGGATACTGCGGACAGGTATAACCCGTGTGCATACAAGCACTTTTACGGCTTGCTGCTGTTGGTGTTGTTGTTTAAGCCCTTAGTCGCAGCACTGGAGGTTGCTGTGTGCGACTGCTCTTCACCACGGCATGTCGGAGTCGTCAGTTTTGAGCGATACGATCAGTGCCGGACGAATATGTCGTCTATCAAATTCATCCCGGTAAAGTACGATATCTACAGGGAAGATAAGGCTCGAACGGTGTTCAAAAAATTCAGCTGCCGTGCATGGGAGCAGACCTTGCACATCGAGGAAGGATTCCTGGGCTGGACGGACACGACAAAGTCGTCGAAAGAGAAGCCGTTAGCAGCTGGCGACTTTGGGGTCATGGCGAACACATTCAAATGCGGTGTGAGTTCGATGGTGAAGCGTGGTAGTGTGTGGTCTTATACAGCGGAAACCCAAGGGCGAGGGTGCCTGGTACTCTACGAAGACGTACACTACCTACAACTGTGAAATCAAGGAGCTGTCCCTGGAGCAGGAATGCAAAACGTGCCCGATCATGAGTATCGTTGGAGAAGTGGCAATGGATCGAGCTATCGGTTACGCCATTCTGTCACACCGGACCATCGTATGGAACGACATTTCGCAGACGCAGAGACCGTGTGAAACGGCTCGTCTGACCAGGCGAGTCGGTCAACTGTATAATGATACATACGGTGTGTTAAGAATCCGCGATACTGCGCGCCAAATGGATTTCGTTCTAGGCGCAATGACGCGCTTGTGTGGACAGACCGGAACAAAGGCGTTCCGCGTTGTCGGCGAAACGAGTATGCTGTTGGTGGTGCTGACGTGCGCGGAGAAAATCCTCTTCCAGGACTTCAACTACACCGCCGGAGGCAGTGTCGTTGGAGGGGCAGGACGGGATTCGGCGTTTCGTGGCAAAAGAGGATTGCTGGGATTCGCCGGGGGAACACATCCAGGATTTCCTTCAGGATCATCGGGTACCGTAAAGCCGTTGCCACTGACAGAGGCCACAACGACTGTCGGGAGTGGTAAGAAGACGCCGGATGCGGAGGGCGCAACTACTGAACCCCCGATGACGCTACAACAGTACCTACCAGAGCACCTGCAATGGATTATGGACTCGGTTGTGGAACAGGAAAACCACATTGCGGAAGCTGTTAACGCCGTCGATTGTCGGTTAAGTAGACTAAAAATTGAAAATCTTCATTCACTGTCGAAAGTGAGCGGAATTTTGGCTGCGCGTGCTATGCACTTTACAGAGTGTCAGAGCTAGGAGAGCTTCGGGAGCATGGATATTCTACGGTAGTGCCGACCGTTCCACTTGACGTTCGAAGCGCAGAACACCGTCTACTGCGGCGTACAGCCTCGTTCGGAAAACTTCACGATTTCTCGCGACGGATTCACGGCGATAAAATGGCAAGAGTGCTACTGGCAGTCGCATACGGTGAATTTCCATGGGATACCTCACGTCTGGAGAGACGGAGATTGGCGACCAGTGCAGCCGGTGCAGTATGCTGACCGACAGCTGCTACTCGCGCCTTTCGAGATGACCGTTGACCTTTCTGGGGCCTTGCTGGAAGCAGCCGCCAAGAAGGAACATGCGATGACGTTTCAGTTGCTGGGCCAGTTGGCCGGGGCAATGGAACATAACGGAGTGGAGAACGTGGAATCGTTCGTTCAGAACGTTCAGCAGTCAGCAAGTGTACCTGAGAAAATGTCTAAGATACGTTGGTTCAAAACGATATTCGGGTCAATCACTACGGTGGTAGTGCTAGTGCTGATTGTGCTGGTCGTATTTCAGTGTCGCGGACCGATAGCTGGATGCGGAAAGCGGATTGTGAATCGCTTGGCCGAACGGAGACATCGACGTTCGACTGTGGTAGCGGAACCGGTGACATACGTCAGTGCTCCTGAGGATCCGGGTTATGAAGCGATTAACCCACCGGACAAGGAGGTGGGACGGATTTTCATCCCGTTACACCGTACGAATAACCGGACTTGACGTCTTGAGGGACCTGCGACGTCTGGGAAGGGGGCAATGTTACATAACTAGCTTAGTCATGTCTGATGTTAACCTATGGTCATATACGTTTTCTCCTATGGTCATGCATTTATGGTCATAGTCCATGGTTTTGCCTTTCTCATGCCCTTGTGCGCCAGATGTACTGACAATGAGTGATTGTCTGATATTAGGCCGTTTCCCTGGATGTCCTGTTATTTCCGGCTTAGGTCGTTATATAAGCCTATGTTTACTTGTTATTTGTTAGTTCTTAGCTGAGTATTATTAAAGTGGCTAAAACCCGATATTCATTACGCCTTACGGATAGTGTAAGCGTATCAACAACGTATCGGGCATTTGGCGTTAAAACCTTGGAGAAGCGTCTGTAACCGACCAAAACGTCCGGACGACCAAGACGTCCGGCGGACGTTTTGGTCGTTAAACCGACCAAACCGTCCAGGGGCAAAAAAAACCGTCCGCCGTAAAATTTGCCCACCCAAAATTTTTTGCGTTCTCAGCATGGGCACTTTGGTCGGAGTACCATTTCAGCCCGGACACTTTAGTCGGAGAACCACTCCAACCAAAGGATCAGGGCTTAAATAGTGCTCCGACCAAAGTGCCCGGGCTACAATGGTACTCCGACAAATGTGTCCGGGATGAAAAAGCTCTCAGGAGCTTCAGTTCCCACCAGAACGCAAAAACATTTGGGTGGGCACAATTTGCGGCAGGCGTTTTTTTGGCCCCCGGACGGTTTGGACGGTTTAACGACCAAAACGTCCGCCGGGCGTCTTGGTCGTCCGGACGTTTTCGTCGGTTACAAGCGTCTTCACTCAAACGACGTGCCGTGTTGGGTGATGCGTTGTTTCTCGTGCGCTTTCCGCTGTTGAGCGATGCCGAACTGGTCAACGGGCCAATGAAAGTAAGTGCTGAGCGTGCCGCACTTATTGAGAGCGGTTAAGATACGGTACCCTATAGCTTGTGATACGTTTAATATTAGCTGCGGTGCCGCAGCGACACTACGTTTTTCAAAAAGGAAACAGGGAATTTCTTAGTAGCGCCTTCAGTCGAAAAATCCTCAACAGGTTTTTTGACACTGCTTAAAGGTTTTGTAATGTCCATCGTTCCTCAGTATCTCGCTCATAAGAAATATGAACAATCGAAGTTTGTGAACTGCATCAACGTGACCGATATTAATTGTACAGAGTCAGTTGCTGCTGGAAACCGAATTGTTGGACATTTACCGGTTCCGGTATGCCAACAGTAAGCTCGACCTGCCTTTTTCGACGACACCCCGAACCGGCTCGGTTATCCGCATTCCTCGCGGCTACGCAGAATACGCATACAAAGAGGAAGTGATTTTAGAGAACGCCACGGACCACCACTGGTATCCGGCCATGGTGATGGGGATCGCGGAGCGGAGGTCAGTGTGTCGCGAGACGGAGGATACAGTGCACTGCCCTATGCGCCAAATGCATTCCTTCGCGCGTCGGATATCCTGACCATGGGACAGGAGGTCCAGTTTATGCTTAATTGTCAGACACGCGACTATGTCACGGGCACACTCGATGGATACCCGAATAATTGTTACACTATCTCCCATCCGAGCAAACGACAGCTGAGACACTTTACGCAACGGCGTATCAGTAGCGAACAAATGACGGCCTGGGAGGCGACCCATGGTTCCTCTTTCACTTAGCAATCTTGATGCTGTTTTGCTGGATCGATTGATCGCAGCTTTCGCCACAAACAGAGTATTCTGTAGAGCGGCCGCAATTTACATATTTAGGTTTTAGATGAGGGGTTAACGGTTTCGCATTGTTATATAGTGCTTTGTGTTTTTTGAATGCGATGCAGCAGCGAGGAATGGCTTGGACAGCACGTATTTTCTATGATTTGTATAGCTGTTGCTTGCAAGGTCGGCCGGAAGGTTGTCGTTTGCAGTTATGAGTATTGTCTTCGGTTTGTGGTATTTTGTGCTGTTATCTGTTTTGTATCAATCAGGTCTTGGTAAAGCAATGTGGCGGTTATTTTTCTGATATGTGGTGCGGGAAGTGCGTTGCAAATTGTATGCATACAAGGTGCATATTTATGCATACAGCTGAGACGTTTTTCCAAATGCCGTTGGCTGGCCCGATCTACTTGTATACACTGTGCGTAACTTGCATTATACAATATAAAACATCAACAGTGCAGTATACACTTTACTGTAGCCGCGCGATGAGTTTGCACCACAGAGTCTGGTATACGGAAATCGTCGCACACGCTGCAGCACGTTCTACGTAACGTGTGCACTGTCGGACCGGGGGCAGGCAGCGCCCGGATCTAAAAGTGGTGCAAACTCATCGCGCGGCTACAGTACATCATCTCAGTGTTCCATGAGAAAGCGGTGCCGTATATCGTCTCGGTTTTCAAAGCGATGCTGAACATTCTGCAAATTTAACTCCTTTTCTGGTTGCGGTTCAGCAACGATTATGATGATTGCTTGCTTGTGCATGACAAGTTAATTACAGCAGACGGAAGTCGAAACTGTTGTTCGACGGCAACCTGCTAGTCACGTACTAACTTTCACAAAAGTTGATGGTACTTCCAGTAAAATTCATAACGGCATCACTCAAGTGACGCGTAATAATCTGTACACGCATGAATAGCAGGAGCTTGCTTAACTTCCTTTTTGGAACGTCTGTACGTACCGGTACGTAGGTACATCTATAGACGAGGAACTTGAAAATCTTACAAAAATGAGAAAACACAATAATATAAATTTATAGAGAACACTGATTGCAGATAGCACAGCCTGTTTTCCGTGTTTTCAAAACGAACCATGAGACTGTTGCCAGGCCGTTACAGTTCGCCAGTATTCGACAACTAGTGGCCGTTGGCTGCCTTCCAGGCCGTCATCTGTTCGCGACCAATGCGAAGTTCCAGGAAGTGAACTCCGCTGATAAGCTGTGCCGGTGCGCAGGGAACGTATCGAATGGTGTGCCGATCACCTTGAGATGAAACATACGTAATGTGGCACGCCTCCATTCCGTCACAAAAAACGGGTTGGCCGTTTCTCAAGATATCCGCAGCTCGCACTACATGATCTGGTGTAGTTATACTAATCAGTCCGCGGTGCAGCATGACTGTAATGCCAGATTCATTAATGTCCACGACTGCACCCGGGTGCCAATTCTGGTTATCGATATAAACAAAAACTCGCTCCCCGAGCTGGAAATGGAAGCTTAATCCTTTTCGTGGCTCAACAGGAAAGGGCAGAGACGGTTCGGCATGGTATGCTTATACTGGTACAGAGCCACTACTTCACTTTCCAGTAGTAAACCATTCTGTAAAAGCACAGCATGCGCTCAGAAAACGCAATAAATTATCAGTTTTGCAAACGCTGTTGTGGACTAACCTTGACAGGGCCGCTGGCTAGCTGAGAATCGGTGAGCAGCGGAAATCGGACATGAAAAACGGCTATGCCCAGCATTTTGCGCCGATTAACGCCGGACACCTCCAGCTTATTCCGCCGGCATGTTTCAGCAGCCCATCTACAGCCAAAGAATTATTGATAATTCGGGCAGTAAGACCATTTTCGGAGTTTAGTTTTGGATAATATCAGCGTCATAAGTTAAACGGAAATACCTTTCTACGGCCGTATAAATGGTGTGTTCATCCGCCAACAATGTGTCACGTTGCAGGAGCATCGTCAGTGTGTCTTGACCAATCGCAGCAAACTCATCCGACTGAAAAATGGTGGTGGCAGATGCATCCACCATTGCCAAGCGCTTCTCCACAAAAACACCAGTAGCAGCATTATGCATAAAACGGTTGACCTGGTCGCAAAGGAAGGGAGGTAACCGCTATCCGTAGTTACAAGCAATTGAACACGAATATGGCAAGTTAATAGCTTACGTAGTCCAGAAACATTAGGCAGTTGTCAATTTTCAGTTGGCTCCGGGCGAATTTCAGACACGCTTCCAGCAACATCGGCAAGTTGTACTTGTCGGCACAGTAAATAGTCTGGAACAGATTTTCGGTCTGGAGATGCCGTTCGGTTGAACCAGAGTACATGTATCTGGAAAGAACAACAAATCTTTTTGAGTGTATTCGAAGAAAAATAATCAAATACGTGTAACCAGAATAACAAATGAATTACAATAAGTTAAATACATAAAAATAATACTTAATTTAAAGGAGTGAGCCGACGCGGCGGATTTAAAAGTCTGGACAACAGCGTGTACGTACTGGAGCATAACAGCGAATGCTTCCGGCAGTATCTCCGGAATTTTGATTGGCTCCGTAGCGCTTTCGGCTAGCTCCCCATTGAACATTGCATCAAAAACATCACTGTTCAGGCTGAGGATAAATCTGGAAGATCAGCTTGCACTGCGTGCCGTATTTACGTAACGGAAACGTTGGAACGTGACTTACTTATGAGCGGAAAACACTCTCACTGTTCCGTGCTCGTGTCCGACTGCAAATTTCACGTCGCTTATCTGTCCACTAGCCAACACGTGCTGCAGGAGATTGCTAATCCCATGGCTTGTACATCGCCAATCGCTAATCCGGGAGGTTGTGCAGTTTTCAGACATTATTACAGTTACCCAAAATCGCAGCTGAAAAATAGAAGTTTTAGCAGGCCAGTGACCTTTGCTATAAACTGGGCTCGGATACTTCTGTTCTCGTAAATCTGTGCTACAGCAGATAATCAGCCGATCGGTCCGATCCACAACGACGTTTCAGGTTTCAGAGTGTGCGTTTGAATAATCATAGAACCGCATTCCAGCGCGTACGCATCGAGACTGGATTCCCACAATATAACTTCTCTTGTTAATGCTTGCCAGCATTCCATCGAGGCTATCGTTGTACTTCACATGAACAGCCAGATTCGTCATGGTTGGTTATCAGCATGATACGCAGTTGCATGATCGTCTGCCTTTTTGTAATCCATAATTGCCGATGCGGCAAACAGTATCTGTACAGTCGGCGAACGGCTGGCATGCCAGAAGATTAACTAATTCAATACCGAAACTGCGGGTAAAATGTTAAATTATAGAGGATAAGTACTACAATCACATAATCGACAAGCAGCTGACACAGAAGAATGCAGAGTTGCAGACACGACAATGCCGCTTCTTGACCGATCTAGTATCGAGACAATTACATCGTTGATGTTATTGCTTCTTGAAAATCGTGAGTTTCGTCCATTTATGCAGCAAATAAGAAACACATAACATAAACAACTTTATTTTATTAGGCAAAGGACAGCTGAAAGGCCGAAAACAACTCCGGACATCCCGCTTGCCTGGTAATTAACGGTTTGCAATTTTCCAAGCCGCCATTTGCGAGCGACTTACACGCAAATCCATGAAGTTTACTTCAACCTGCCTGCCACTACCTCCAATGCGGCCCATGTGGTTGAAGGCACAGCTCAGATGTTTCATGGTTCATGCGACGGAAGCTACAGAGAATCGGCTGGCCTCGCTTCAGGAAATCCGAGGCCCGCACCAGCTGATTCGACTGATACAAGCTAACCGTGTGTCCTTTTAATTTGACAAGGAAACCGTATGACGCTTTTTCTACAATCTCTCCGGCATGCCAGTTTTCGCCTTCGACGGAAGCAAACACCTGATCTAAGTGCTGGAAATCAGGTACATCAGGGAAACTAGCTGAAAGGCGATTCACGCCCTTGCGCGGTTCAACCGGAAACGGAAGGGGCGGTTTTTTCTTGGCATGCTTATATTTGTAGACTGCCAGCAGTTCACTTTCGAGCAGCAAATCATTCTGTAAAACACAAATAAGCGGCTGTACAAGCATAACATCACTAATGGAATCGTTTGAAATCGAAGAGCAATTTTTGCATTTCTTCCTTTATAACTGATGGATCTATCAACCTTAGCCGGGCCGTTAACCAGCTGAGAATCGGACAGTAAAGGAAACCGGATATGAAATAAAGCATCACCCAGCATCTGACGCCGGTTAACCCTGGACAGATCCAGATTATTCTTGCGGCACGCTTCCGCAGCCCACCTGGAATTCAAGCGACTACACCCAATGAAATTTTTACCGGTAACAGCGGCTCATACTTCTCCACAACCATGTAAAGTGTGTTCTCATCCACCGACAAAGAATTCCGTTGCAGAATCATTCCCAGTGTACCCTGACTAATCGCAACAAACTGTTTCGATGGCAAAATATTTCTAGCGTATGTATCCACCAAACTCCAGGCGCTGCTCCACAAAAGCCATAGCACAATCATGCACCAAATATTTAACCTGTGAGACACCGGTCAACAGCAGTAATTTTTAACGGGACTTCTATCGCGCAAAGTTGTCAAACCGACATTTTCTAAATTCTCCAGACAGTTGGTGATCTTCAGCTTGCTGTTCAGGAATTTCAGGCCCACTTTTAAAAGCACGGGCAAGTTGTACTTATCCGCGCAGTAAATAGTCTGCAAAACATTCTCTGTTCCTAGTTGTTCCTCGGCTGAACCCGTGTACATATAACTGAAACAAGATGCAAGTACCCAGCAACGTTATTCCATGGATTTTACTGCTCACGGCAATGCGATACGTAAATCTCAAAAACAAAAAACCTTAAGAGTACGTACGTGAGCATCACGTTAAATGCTTCTGGCAAAATCTCAGGAATATCGATGGGCTCTGGACCGCTTTCCGGCAGTTCTCCATTGAACATTGCGTCAAAAACGTCGCTGTTGAGGCTGAGGATAAATCTAAAGGGGGATTTTCTTAACTATCGAGATTTTCGTTGTATTACAACCTACAGTTTACATAAAATATCTACTTGTGGGCTGTAAAGATCTTTGCTTCACCGTGATCCCGTCCCACTGAAAACTGGACATCGCCCATGTGCCCGGTGGTCAGGACATGCTTCAACAAATTGGTAATCCCGGGATCTCTGGCCGCCAGTCGGGAGAAATCGCAGACGTTTCAACAGTTTCAGCAGTGTTGGACATGGTTGTTTAAAATTTTAAATTAAGATTTCCGTGCTTCCAGTTTAACATTTGCTGCGTTAACTGTTAGATGATTTACCTGAATTAATATACTAGACAACAAAGTACTGTACTCGATGCAGTCAGTCTAGCCAATATTGCAGTTGATCATGGCTGCGAAAATTGACATGCAAAATGCTGTTGCAGCTTTTCTTGGAGTACCGGCACTTGAACTCACGAGGATTTGTGAATGTACCAGCGGAATGCACATGATTTCTGATTTCATATTTCCCGGTAAACAAGGACGAGCCAGCAACACCACAGTCTGACTAAGGTTGACACTTGACAGCTTTCACAAAAATCATGGGTCAAAAAACATAAACGTAAAACATGACAACATATTAAGCATGAGAATATATATGCATGCAAACTTATCCCAATAAATAAATTGTAATTGCTTAACTGCAAAGGATTTAACAGTATCTACACTTATTCTATAGTACATACTGTTAACGCACGGTATCTACAGACTACAGTAGAGACCCGGCAGCTACATTATGCACGCGGTATCTGCAAACGATGTACTGCAGATCTGGCGATGTAGATTCGGAAAGGACGATAAGGGTAGTGCCAGACGCCATTTCCTAATAAATTCGTTGAGAAGCGTTTGGAATTCCATACTGTTTCTTGTACCCAGTTTGGTATTTCGATCTACAACCTTCTCACACCAATCGTCATCGGGTATCTTGAAACGTCTTGTTCCTCTTCTGCTCTGCGGCAGTTTTAACTCCAGTGGATTCCGGTTGGGCGTTTCCCTCATTGGCGCATGCGCCCTCCTCAGGTTCATAAGTCAGTACTGACCTTACTTATATCCGCCACTATCATCACCAAGCACTTATATTTTTACTGGGATGCCGCAACTTCTACATGACATGTACTGTACATTCACGTCTGGGGCATACCGGTGGCAATTTTTATATCCAAATATCAAACAGAATGGTGATGGAGGAATTGATGTCAAATACGTTGACGACGGAAAAGAACCAGCGGTGATTTGGGCAGTGTGCCAACCATTTCGCATTCTATGCTAAAACTACCTTCACAATAGGAACGTTTTAGCAAAGAACGCGAAGTTTATGGTGCACACACTGATCTTGTCAATTTAGCAGACAGCGCTTGATAATTGATACCGAAACCACAACTAATATAAAGGTCAGCAAACCGTTCGACCTATGTAGAAGGGTTCTGGCGAATGGCATAAGCTAGGAGCATTAACAACAACAACGATGGCAACTTAGAGTTAAACAGCAGAACACGGCCTTCAAACCGGCTCCGCCAAAAATATACTCTGTAGTTAGCGGTGAGACTACACGCATTCAGTAAATTCACCTAAATCAGTCGGCTAAAAGGTCTTAGCGACGTTCTTCGTGAGCCAATAATTCTCATGCAGAACATCGATCAGTTTTATTTACGAGGTCTAGCTGAAATTGGTTTTAATAACAACATTCCCAGCAAGATATCGCAAATGAAGTCAAATTGAATAAAGTGCCGGGCACTGAATTATGTATCTCTAATCGTCTGCAATTATGCTGCACAACCTGTTAATGCCGCGCTCCCTGCTTCCCATGATGGTAAACCGGGTTGACAAACGCGATGTTTCTGAGACTGCCAGAGACCAGACCAGAATGGGGAAGAACGGCAACGGGATTTAGCGAATAAGGATGATAGTCAATGCTTTTAGCGGCACAATCACTTGCATAGGACCACGCTGGGTGATACTCAGGAAGAGCAGCATCATGTTGCCGCAAACCCGTAGGTGTTTATTCTTCCACCGGTTGCACCTCACTCGAATTGCGGAAAAATTTGCGCAGCAACCTGGTGATGCAACCGTTCAGAAGGATTCTCGTTCGAACTTCAATGTACCGAAGACAGCGATAATTTTTGGAGTGTGACATTATTAATACTATCGGCGTCGATATTCTGTGATGTGTTGTACCATGTCATACCGACGTGCGCGGCTTTTATCGTGATAATGACGTAAATAGACGACGGAAATGTCGAAATACTCTACAGAAATGGACTTAGCTGTGTTAACGTTTCATTAGCAGATTGAGAGGTTTTATGCTTTTGCGCTACTGCTGACGATATCGTTCTTGTAGTGTCGTCATTAGGAGTGTACTCGCGTAACACATCGTCATCCCCTTATTTTCAGTTAAGCAATACAACACAGGGTCATCACAAGAGTCATCACCGGGTCGTCACAAGAGTCACAAGTACACAAAACAGCGAGCAAAGCAAGTTAATGAGCAAGAGGCGCATAAGCGCGGGGCAGGACAACAGAAGCATTAATTAATTAGCAAGATTCTGAGCAAGCTGCAGCAACGCTAAACTCAAAATAACTAACTCAAAATAATTCTGACCGTGATATGCCGTCGGTAAAGTGCAGAAGCATTAAGATTTTCATCTTCATTATCCCTTAAATACTAGTAAACAATAGAGAAACTGGCTTTACAATCAAATTTCTATCGCTACAGCGTATTGGGGGTTAAAAGGCCATAAATGAGACTTGCGGCAGCGCTAAAACTAGTGCCGCTGGCGTAGGCCGCCATCAGCACCAAAACGCCATGGGATGCGGAATAATATTTCGCGCATAGCTTGAACGGCACTAAATATTACTCTACTTCCCAGACATTTAGGAATGGCACCGAAAACATGATTCGGTTAAACTAGGTAATAATATAAATAAATGAAATTGCCAGTACTGAGCAGCCGACGACAAGTTTGCAATCGCACAACGCAACCTAGCGGTGAACGTTCAATAGTACTCGTATCTTACAGATCAAAAAGGACCGTCACATATCATCCCCATCATGCCGCAATCGACCTACCAGTAGGAGAAGGCCTGTAGCAAATATTATGAGCGAATTTTTGGGAACTGCAGCAAGGCGGGTTACGCAGCGCAAACGACTAGTGCGTTACTCGAATCGCATAAATGTTTTCCATGTAGGCTATAAAGCACTCCAGGATTCATTTATACTCAACCTAACACAAACAATATTCTCGATGGATTCGCTGGGTTTCCCTTTCCCTATCGTTTTCTGATATAACAGGGGTGAACAGACGTTATTATATCAGCATAGGTGTTCCGTGATGATAAACGGTGACGTTCGTTGCCGATACCAGAGCAAACTAAGGAAGGACAGTATTATTGAAACAGGATGCGCACAAGTACTGCGCTGTTTATACCCAGGAGGCACTAGGGATTCGTGCTGTTGCTGACAATGCCAAATACGAGTACACAACTGATCGTCCAAGTAGGCTCTTAACGGGAGCCCTTCAGCAAGGATCGTATGCTATGGATGTGCTGCAGTCGAAAATTAGTACACTCCTCCAGTGTCACATCAAACGTGTATACCTAAGTCTTGGAACGGTCGGCGCCGGTTGTGATCTTGAAGCTGCGTATGCAGCACTCGTACTTTGTACAAAAATACTTTAATTTTACTAACGAAATATAACGACATCGACGTAAGTAGTCAACTGAATCGCGCAATTATGAAGGAGATGTGAGTAAAAAAATCTTTAAAAGGCTGTTAAAACAAACAAATACGCTCTGCTTTATTACTGTTGTTGCGCTTCATAGTAAAATGATGAAACGGTTAAAATCAGCCCTTTTTAATGGTGGTCCGTTGATACGTAGTTTTATTGAAGTTCAAAAAATATTGGTAGTGGTTTGAAATGGAATTACCAACCCAATCAAACCGCGCGGCTCATAAAACGGCCGACCAGCATAATTCCACCACAATGCTGGATCACGTAACGGCCTGATGCCAATGACGCTGCTACGGGGTTTCTCAATAACCAGTCATCCTTACTTCTCATTTTGAGTAACCGGTCACCCACTTTCATAATATGGCGTTTTATATGATTAAATGCTGATCCCCGTGTACAAGGGAAGTAAATTTTCGTAGTACACCTGAACCAATTTTTCGGCTGTACCAGGTTTCCCGACAGAACAAAAGGCAGGACTGGAGTACACAGAGCAGAATGACCGGTTGTTCAAAAAGCATAGTAAAATTGATGGGTTGTTTGAACAGTGAATGGCGTCACTGGTATATCAGCGAGATTAACGTCCCTTTAGGAATGCGGAAACGTTTTTGCTCTATGGCTAATCTGAAGCAGCATAAAACAGGCGTAATTAGTTTACGACGCATCCAGTGATCCACACCCCTGCCAAAGTCGGTAGGCTAGCTGACTTTAGCTCAGTTCATCTGTTTCGGACGAATCCACTCCGCATTAGCCGCCAGCCAATCGATCCTACTTTGCCGCCCGTAATATATAATCTTCTCGTTAGTTCGTCTGCTCGTAGGCATTCTGCCATCGACACTCGTACGTACTTTTGTTTATTGCTTAAACTCCACATGTTTAACTTACTCTCCACATGTTTCGTACTCAAACTAGTTCATATCATTATCGTATTCTTATCAGCAGTGTGTCAAAGACACGATGCGATAATTTGCTTGCTCATCAAATGAAACGTACGGATGCTAAACCTGAAATTATTTCTTCTCATAACACGCGCGATAGGTTAATAAACGCACCAAAAATTTGCGACTGTGACATCTCTATGCGGAAGCTTCCGGTTCAATTGGCAGATTTGGATCCGATACAATGTCCCAACATTCCTCTCCATCGGCTCTCAATTCTCAATGGCGAAGTGCTCAATCGGGAGTTGTCGACCTTCTGAAGCACATCTTAGCGAGTGGGGAAATGAGCGATGTGCTGTTTACAGTCGGACGTCAGTATGGCGAAGTAAAGACCTTCCCAGCCCATAAGTCAGTCCATGCGCCTTTCAGCGATTATTGAGTTTTATAATTATTAGTAGCAAAGTTGGTTTCAGATTCGTATTGAGCCTTAACAGCGACGTCTTCCACACTATGTTTAATGGAGCTTTACCCGAAAGTGGCGACGGCGCCATTGATATCCCGGAGATTCTACCAGATGCTTTCACCAACATGCTCAAGTCAGACTCGGAACATGCAGTCACAATTACAAAGAATGTGATAACGGTCGATTTGAATCGTTAGGTTTACATATTCTTGGTTTAGGTATATGTACACTCGTTGCCTGGACAATGAGCTGCAAGTCGACAATGTTTTCGAGACGATTTACTGTGCTGACAAGTACAACCTACCAAAACTGCTAGAACTCTGCTTGCACTTTGCCACCACCCAACTGAACGCCGATAATTGCCTAATCTTTGCGGAAAAGGTAGGTTGGCATATCTGAAACAAACGGATATGACTCATATGAGTAAATCCATACAAAATGGAATCGACAGCCTGGCAGTTACTTAAGTCAAAACAACAACATACCCTAGTTTTTCTGAGTAGATTAAACTTTGTACGCATGATGGTATGGCTGCATTTCTGGAGAAGTGCTTGAATCTGTTGGACAAACACTGTGATATCCTTATGCAATCGGAGCAGTTCAGCGCCATTGGACACGATACACTGGAAATGATTTTACAGCGGAACACTTTATCCGCTGGTGAAAATAGGATGTACACGGCCGTAGAAAAGTGGGTAGCGGGCTATGACCGAAAGTCAAAAATAACCATCCAGTAGAGCTGATTCCGCTGGTCATAGGTGTTGCAGGTGGGCAACAGATAACTGCCTTCGGGAAAATCTTGAACCATCGCAGGCTAATCGGCGCCGATTATTGGGAAACGCGTTGTTTCTCGTTCGTATGCCTCTGCTGACCGATGCAGAACTGGCTAACGGTCCAGTAAAAGTAAGCGCTTTAGTCAGGCAATTTTGTTTGCACTGCATTAAGAGTGAAAACTGATAAATGTGGCGTGAAAATTCTGGTACACCGTGAGATTGCTTCGCGCACTTGTAGACAAAAAAGTAATAATATAAGATTAGGCTAGAGAAAATATTATAAGATTAGGCTAGAGAAAATGGTTGTACTTGTACTTGGTTGCTTAATTAGTTATGTATGACTATTTTGATGCGAAGACTGCGGTAAAGTAGAATTTTGAATTGGTAGATATTACAGGCTTACTCGTAAACCGTGAGCTTAAAGATGAAGTGGCTTTTAGGAAGTACAGCGGAAGAGTTTCTAAATGTCTTGAGCTTCTGTGTATACGAATCCGCTGTTTGGTACCATGCAAAACACATTCGTTCAAAGCAATATGTGTAAGTTACGGTCGTTTCAGAGTCGCTTGCTGCTTGATTCCGAATTGCTGGACATTTACCAGTTCAAACATTCCGACAGCAAACCACAACTTCCCTTTCCGACGGAACCCAGGCAAGGCAGATCGCTGATTCCCAGCGGGTACTCTGCCGGGCTACGTGACAAGTCGTCGCGAGACAGTTCGTCGCGGGACATTTCGTCGGCGACAGTTCGTTTAAAGGACTTGTGGTCGTGAGACAACTCGTATTTGGACGTTCCGTTTTAAGGACATTTCGTTTTCGGAAGTTTCGTTAACGCGACAATTGGTAGCAAACTCCTCGTTGCCAGGCTAGGACATTTCGGCGCACGGACTTTTCGTTGGATGGACTTTTCGTTGTGTGAAATTTTTTATATTCAAGCCGAATTTAATGACAAATCAGAGTCGCCAAGAAGAAAGTATTAATAAAATATAAAAATAATAAAACCGAAGAGGAAACAGTTAGTAAAAATCGTGAAATGAGTTTAATTAACCGCGATCGTTATTGCTCAAAATTACAAAAACTGAGGCATGCAAAAGTTTAATTAACCACACCATAGTTCGACACATTCAAGATTTAGCAAACAAAAACATCCTGCTTCTGCTAATGAAAACATGCGTAACTGACCGCTCACACACTCAATTCCAGGTTTGCCGCAATGTTTCGCAAGAATCAGACCTTGTCATGGTTGCTATAGTCCTTGACGATGTTGGCAAGGCGGTCAAACTGGAATTGTAACCTCAAGCAGAAAAGTTGAGGAAATATTTGTTTACGAGCGACTGATTCTGAAAGTTTGGTTTTGCCACTGAAAAACAGATTTTTGGAATAAATCAGCACTTCTCTGGCATTACAACCAGAAGGCAGATGGGAAAGGTAATGTCATCCTTCAAACACGGAGACAATTGAATATCACTGACACTTAAGTGCGATCTGTGTCAGTGTAGCCCAGAAACTATTAATTTTATTCATGCAGTTTCTGTAGTGGTCAAAATGGACTGCGTGACGGAAACTGGGACACCTTTTATCGCTGTCTTGCAATGAGAAAGTGATTCTGCGTTACGATGTCTGCTGTGCACACGTATGAGTAATTGATAGACTGTACAGTGTGCGCAGAGAAGCCTGTTCGTTGCTAAAATTTCGACCTAAATTAATAATGGCAATCAAGGCTCTCTCGCCTTTCACACTGTTAATCGTACATAAACTTCAAATACAGACAATTACTATAATATAATTAGTCACTCAAGTTGCCGGTTAGCCATAAAGGCCCATAATGCACAATTTTCTAGTACCTTAACTGCAGAAACCACATAAATATTGAATATTAATATACAGTATTCGTAATAGTGTTTCTGTATAAGACAGCGCAGTTTTTAGATTTTACTGCATGTACTTATTACACGCAAGTACCTAATTGAATAACTGGGTAAGTTTGTTTAATATCTGTTAATAATCGAAATATAACGTTTTCGAAATTTTTAAAAATAAGGAATTATACCATATGTTGGGCTTGTCTAAATGAGAAAAATTTTGAGTGAAACGGCGGTATATTCAAGCTAAAATTAAACATTTTCAATTAAAAAAATTGCGAATCCAATTGTCCTCACGACGAAATGTCTGAACTCGAGTTGTCCGTGTACCCAAATGTCTGATTACCAGATGTCTCGAGACGAAAAGTCTAGCGACGACAAGTCCTTAGACGAACTGTCCCCGCGACGAAAAATGGCCGACCAAGTGTCCCGCGACGAGATTTTATGCGACGACTTGGTCGGTCACGCTCTGCCGAACTCACACCCAGTGATGAGGTGTTTGTGGACTTTGATTCTGGTGAGGAGTACTGGCGTCCGGCCCAGTTGGTTTCGTTACATGGAGTGGATATGGTTGCTGTAACGCAGAATGGAGGATTTACTCTGACTAACTGTCCGCGGAGCAAGGTTATTCGTGCCGCAGAGGTACTGAAAAGAGGGCAGAGAATTTTTGCTGTAGATGGGGAGGTTTATAGCGAGTGCACATACCTTAATAACATTACTCTTCGTCGCACTATTTATCACGTCGTTTCCACTGGCGAACCACACTTCAGCGAATCCAGACGTAGGTTTGTTAGCCTAAGGATTAGCCGCAACCAGATGGCGGCTTGGGCTTCATCCATTGCTAGGTAAATCCAAGTGATTTGTCGGGTAGTCTTTTTTATGTTTTGTGCAGAAATGCGGTTTGACTGCAAATGTTACGTCGTAAATGTGCAAAATCTGTGAGCACAATGTCGAATAATTTCAGGACAATAAAGCACCTTAATCAGTATCACATTAATATTCACAAGTAAATACAAATCGAATACGAAGGACGAGACTTATGACACAGCACTTTTTCAATAATATCCTGCTTGAGGATTGTACCCATAACACATACAAGTATCGCGTTTCCCCAGCTGCATTTGGATAGATAATCGCGATGACTTTCGTAAAAACACCACAACTGACAGGAATTCCCGATGGTCGCGAAAATTGTTAAAATTTAAATTAACGAAGTTGGACGGCTGATATAAAGGGGAACTTACAGCTTCAATACAGTATAATTTGGTCATATTTTTAAACTCTGAAACTTTCCTAAGTCCTTACAATGCTAGCAGACGCTGCAGTTGCCACGGGCACTGCAGACTACTGTAGCTAGTGCACGCAGCGCGCTGTAAATGTGTACGTACGAAAGTTGAATGGGCTGTGCATGGCTGAGCGAGCCAATCGGAATTAGTAAAATATTTGGCTAAGCGGCATAGTACACCGCTTAGTGTGCGGCATACTATGCGGTACACTATGTGGCACAGTGGGCTCTTATCGAAAATACCGACTTGGGCCGATTTTCGTGTGAGCCGGCGGTCGTCTGGGACGACCGGTCGTTTTGGACGGTTACCGGCGTCAGTTTGGCGCTAGTGAAGGCTTTCCCAGCCCATAGGTCACTCCTTCACGAGATTGCTTATCAATTGCTTGTTTGACGTCAGGTTCGTATTGAGCCCTAACGGCGACGCCTTCCACAATATGTTAAATGGAGCGATGCCTGGGAATGGCAACTGGGCCATTGATATCCCGGAGATTCTACCAGAGACCTTCATCTGCAACATTCTCAGGTTGGGCGTGCGCTCGTTGAACAGAGGAGCGACATGCAACTTCGTGGACCTTATTTTTTGTACACTTGCTCCCTTGTGAAGTGGGATGAACTGAAGTCGACATAGTCTTTGAAATAAAACCATTTTATACTGTGCTGATAAACACAGTGTACCGCATTTGTTTGAGATATGCTTTCAGTTTGCCATCCTCCACCTTAACGCCTACCGCTCGTCACCACCCACTTCAGCACGGAAACACCGGTAATGCTGCCCGAACCAAACTCCACGTTCGACTGTTCCGTATTGTAACTTGGGAGAAAATTGTCAGCGTACTGGTTAAGTAACAACGCGACTGTTGTCAACGTAATGCTGCAATAAATCTGGGTGAGCCTCTTTGGAAATTCGGTAACTTTTCTCTTACCAGTTACACGATCTCTGCTAGCCTACATTAGTCAACACGGAAACGCCACGAAAAGCTACAACGAATTATCGAACTTGTCGGGCTTACTAACAAACATTTAGAAATTTTTAATTGCCTATTTATATGTAAAAAGCAACAATGAAGTCGAGAAAGCTCATTAAATTTTATGTATATAACTTCATTCAGGATGTTTCACAAAAGCAACGACTAGGGTTCGCATGATCTAGATGAAGAATCCGATCCAGTTAACATCAGAATCTGCATTACCTTTCGTTTCGAGACTTAAACATTGAAAAGGAAGCAGGTGGAGCGGGTTTCTCCCGTTCGATAATACAGTTTTTTGCCGATTACCTTCAACAGATTAACAGACACGTTGCACCATACACCAACAGTTTTCACAATCTAATGGAACAAAATGACAACGATCGTCAATGGAACAAAATGACAACGATCAACGACATTTCTAGTTCTGTAACGGTGAAAAAGCCACATTAATAATGAACCAAGCTAACTTTACGTGACTCTAATGGTAGATCCAGAACAGATCCACGGACGGAGACAGAAACGGAATCTATCCCGTGGAAGTGAGCAATACGATCTGGATTGCGAACTATTGCGAAATCACAAAACGTCGCACCGTAAACTGCTGACTTTTTAATATTGAAAGTTCCGACAATCGAAAATCAATAATGATCGGCGCAGCTCGATCGTAAAACGTGGAGCCCATTCAACAGCGTGCAACGCTGTGCAGCACGTGCTATGCCGCGCCCACTAACAAAACACAAGCCAATCAGAAGCGAGACACAACACAGGCCATAATCCAAAGGCGTAGCGCCTAGCGCCACTGACGTGAACGCTAGTGATCCCGGTCTCACATGCCTCTGGGGGGATGCCGAGCTCCTGTGAGGCTGGACACACTCCCGAATCCACGAGAAGACGACGGTCGCCGAGTGCCTGTGTGTGCTCAAAAACATCAAATTCTCTTAATCCATTTTATCACATCAATTCCGTAAAGGCACAATTCCATTTAATACAATGTGAAATAAAGAGATCCAATTATAAAAATACTATCAAATCATTAGAACAGATCAACAGTAACAGATCAACAAAAGTATTAATCAAATTGTAGACTAGGATCCTCCATTTCTGACTCGCAAAGGTCACAGGTCCTGTCCACCGTTTTCCGCACTTTTGGCCTATTCCGCTCTGCTGAGCAATTCCGCGCATCCGTAGTGCGACTTTTCATCACAATCCGCTTGAGAATCAGGTGCGTATCAAGTACGACTTTAGGAATACTGCTTCATCTTTGGAATATGGTGCGTATCAATTGTACGACTTCAAAATGAGATCCATAAAGGTCATGGAGGGACGTCATATAGACCAGCGTAGTTCGCTTCCTCCCTGGTAAAGGTCATCCTTTGTTGAGATGATCCGTTGTGATGTGCGACTCGGTTTGGGTTAATGGTCCCAAAAGGTCATGCGACTTGAATTCTAACACGGTGACTCTCTTGGGCGGTAATAATCCCAAAGGTCATCCGACTTCTCTTCAAACTCTCATCAAAGGTCATGGAGGAACTTAGCCAATTTCTGCGGCCGTCAAGCATTTCTTCGCTTGCCTCCCTGGTAAAACTTTTAAGTTGACCTTTCCGTCGCACATCCAACTTCAATATGCCTCGAGCGGCCAGAGTGCCGGCAAGGTTCACCGTAGCATCTCTGATGGGGCCGGCTAGTTACCGCATTGAATTTACCCCATGAAATTTCCACATTTAATCTTTTACTCTTGTTCGCCGCCTGTGGCCAATGTTAATACGAGAAATCCGGCTCGATTACCGTAGTTTTTCTCGTTTCACCTTTAACACTGAATCGCTTAAGAAGAGTGCCGGCGCAGTTTACCGTAACAACTCTAATGAGGCCGACTGATTGCCGCATTAAGTTAACCTCATCAATATTCCACCTGTTGTCTTTCTCTTTTTCGCCGCTTGTGGCCCCGTTTCGTATTCAAGAGATCCGGCTTGATTACCGTTGTTTCTCTTGTGCATTTATAACACTGAGTCGCTTAGAGAGGAGAGCCGGCTAACTGCCGTAACTACTCCCTTGGGGCCGGCTTTATAGACCGAATCAATTTCAACCCCAATAGATACTCCACATGATTTCTTTTAGGCAATTCTGTGCTATAAACGCTGCAAACAACAAATACACAAATACAGTTTATGTTAACATGTCACGTGTCACGTCCTTTATACAACACCATTTTCATCTTTGTGACGTACCGACAAATGCCGTAGACGTCCTTTTAATAGTGTGATCCTAAAGGTCAACACTATTCCATTTCATTTGAATCGCCCTCGCCATCTCTCGGCGGGCGTTTCTTAGCGCTTTCCGGTTGGTTTCGGTCGGAAGTTCGGTCAACTGGTTCCGTCGAGTCAACTTCCATGACCTTTGTCGGGTCAACTTCGCGCTGGCCACGACCTTTACCTTGGCGACTTCGCTTAACCGCCTCAAGTCGATGGCGTGCGTCATTCTCTTCGAGTCGCAGTCTGCGGTTATCGGGGTCTTCCGCCAATCGACGCTGCACGTCGGCGAGATTATCCCGCAGCTGTTGGTTTCGGATGCCGCGTCGTCCCATCTGGTTAGGCGCACGGTCTGGACGACGGTCACTTTTCTTCACTAAGAAGTCATCAATGTAACTTTCGATTCCGTCCACCGGTTCGACGTAGTCGCTTCCCAGAGAATCTTTAATCTTATTAATCCTTTCTTCTACTTGGGATGCGTGGCGCTGTGTCAAGTTGCCCTTTTCCATCCGTGTCTTACATTTCTTCAGCGCCTTCCGAGCCGTATGCGCTATGCTGATATGTTCCATCGGTTGTCCCAACTTGGCGACATGAGCTCGGAAGAACGGTGGAATGTCGTCCTTCATGGTGTTAGACACCAATTGATTTTGTGTCTTATAATGTGCCAGTCTCGCAGCAAAGACCTTTTGCCCCATCCTTTTTGCGGCATAGTCCTTAGGATCCACCTGTAGTCCTATCGACGCCCTTGCTGCAAGCAACTTGAAAGCTGGGTTCACATGTCGTAGAACAAACTGAGCCACGTATTCTTGGCGTTCGGGATAGTCTCTGTAGTAGAACTGTGTCATCCCGATTGGGTCAGTTGTGTCCAGCGGTACATCCAATAAACTTAAATCCACCAAACTATGTAGTCCATTCCGTCGAATAGGGAGATAACAGTCCCGTACCGAGTCGCGGTGGATGAACAACTGACGGAAAAGTCCTTGTTCCACTCCTTGTTTAATCTCTCTCGCATAACCCGAGTCAAGTAGGAATTGGCTCAACTGTCTCAAAATTGTGCCGATTTTGTTGGCTTCAACCGAATCCGGCTCAAGTCCAAAGTATCGACAAATTTCGACCGTTTGTTCATCAATATCAGTCGTATTATATTCCATGTCGATGGTATCCGGTTGTCGGTTATCGAATCTGGAGTTCTGTCGCTGATCAGCCCGGCGATAATTATCCGGTTCTCGTTGACCTTCTGGTTCCCGTCGCTCTCCTGGCTCAGGCTGCGACGGTTCGTTACTAGCCGGTTGTTCCAGTTGAAGGTCACTATCCAGAATTATATTTCGTCGATGGGTCACGTTCTCTTGAGACGTTTCCGCAATCGAACTAGTCCCTTCCATCGCATCGTCTTCTTGTACGACGCTCACAATTGGATCCACTACATGAACCACTGACTCCACCCGCTGATACTTTGGGGGTGAATCTTCTCGTTCAGTGCTTGATGACCTTTTACTTGCGCCCGAGTCAAAGGTCGCGTAAAATGCAGCTCTCTGTTGCCATCTTTTATCCTGTGGGTCAGGCGTTCGGTTTCGCGTATGTTCACGTCTCTTATCCCATGACCTTTCGGGTGTTGACATCCTAACGTTACGATTACGGAAAGCAACTCCCATCGGCACCTGATGCCCTTGCTTTTCAGGTTCTGTACGGAATGTCTCCGCACGCCGTTTGTCTTCACGTTCTCTGGTCGCTGCCAATAACTTCGTTGTGTCAATCTTCCTCTGAATGCTCATCTCTGTTACTTCATCGCCGTGGCGTACCCATCCTCTTCCGCCGCGGTAATCCCTGTCGCGGGACCGTTCGCGTGACCTTTCACTGTGGTAGTCACGTGTCCTTTCACGAGAGTGTTCACGTGACCTTTCGCTCCGTCTTTCAGAAATCCGTTCATGTTCACGTGAATGTCCGCGTGACCTTTCTCTATGCGGAGGCGATCGTGGCCGTATGAAGCCTTCATCCCGTTTGAAGCTTCTGAGTGCTTGCAGCACATCGCTTTCAGTTCGGCGAGATTTACGTAGGTCATCCATACGTCTTTCGACTTCCTTCTTTATGTAGGGTGCCGGCGCGAACCCGTCTTGAAGTCGTTTCTTCTCCCGCAGCAGCATTTTGAATATCTCGTCTGACATGGCAGCTGGATCTTTCGTTAAGGTTTCAATTTGAATGATAAGCGACTGTCGTACGAGTTGCATTTCGTCTTCGTTAAGGCTGGCCATGCCCGTGGGTGCAGCTAAACCCGACGTACTGGGCAACGCCTCTCGTGCGGCCTGTTCGCTTGCCTTCTTATTTTGCGCATTAATTTTCGCGCGGAGTTCGTCTTCCATTTGCTGAGCTCGCATCTTTTCCTGGTCCTCTGTGAATTTCTTCCGATACGCGTCCGTATGTGGACACTTCAACGGCTCCAAGGTGTCATCCCAACCAGGTTCGTTGTTCCGGATCGCTTCCCGGTAGCGATCCTCGAGTAGCATTCGCTCTTCCACTGGGATGCTGCCGTAATTCCTTGCGCTTATCAGATTGCGGAAGACATCCAGGTTCCCGCGTTTGGCTTCCGAGACTCCAACAAGTGAGACGATATGTGGGTCATCCAGCTTGTGAATGCATGCGTAGCACGGAAATTTCTTATCAACCTTTTTGTTATTACGTAGACAGTCCGGACACTTTGGATTGTAGCCCGTTAACCGATCGATGTCTGCCGCCGTTCCCGTACGTTTAGGAGTGGCTTGACCTTTCTGTGCCATTTTTCCGCTTCAATCTGTAATTATAAAACAATCCGTCATATTAACTTTTCCACGTTAATCCTTCCATTTCCTATCCATATCAAGGCTTTTCTATCATTTTTACGCCTATTCCGTTACTGAGCTGAGACTTTCCTAGCTCCTGCTGCCTTTTCTATCACTGTAACGTGGTGACCTTTCTCACGTTATCAGCACTTTCTGACTACTGTGACCTTTTCTATTAGTCCTAGTACTGCTTTCAGTTGACCTTTCGTAACACTTTTCGCTTTCGTTTTAAACTGTTTTATGCTTTTTCTGTAATATGCAGGGTTCATTACTCGCTGCATATTACACTATATTAGTTCACTCGGATTCTTTCATCGATGGTTTATACGGCTTGAAATCGATTCGGCCATCTGGCTTAATATGAAGCACTTCGTCCGCGATCAAGGCTTCGACGGCATTCTTAATCCACTCTTTATCGCTTTCAATATTCAAATCTCCCAATTCGTAATTGACGGCCATGAAGTTTGAAAGGTCATTCCATGACGCTCCATTGGTACCGCCAATGGCGTCCAGAGCTACATCTGTGATGGCTATCTTCCAGGCCTCCAGTTCCATTTTCAGTCTGGGCGTTCGTTCCGTGCCCTGTTTCGGAAGGTAGTAGACGACTTTGTTGTCCTTGTTATATTTACATCCCAACTTTCCTTCCTTATAAGCTCGTTTCAAGACTCGTTCAGTCATGTTAAGTGACGACCTTCCGTTCGTATTTATCGCCACTTGTCTTTTCAGGTCTGTCCCAAGCATTTCTTTTCCCGAATAATCTGGAGTGCAGCTTGGACTTCGTTCCATGTACGATTATTCACGTCCAATGCCGGCCCTAACATGTAATCTGTAGCCTCCTTTGCCGGTGTACCGCTACTTTTCTGGGAGGATGTCGAGTCCGTTGGGTCAGCCGTCGCTGTCTCGTCGATCCTCAGCTTTGCCAGTGATCCTGATGATGACCCCGCCGATTTCGGTTCGGCTGTCTTCTTCTCCTCCTGTGGCAAAGTCTCTTGACCTTTTAAATCGCCGACCGACTTCGATCGTTCCTTCTCAAAGACGTCCTTTAATGGTATGAACAGTGATTTGTGAAACACCTGGCGCGCCGAATCCGCTTCAGCTTCTGCCGCTGCCTTATCCATCGGGAGCATGACCTTTTCTTTCTCCCGTTTGTCTGAAGCTTCATGACCTTTCGGTATAACTTCTGCGGTAGTTTCAGATGTCTTCGGACCTTTCGACTGTTCATCTTTTTCTGTCGTAAGTCCAGAAGGAGCCGTTATAGTAGCGTCGTCGTCGCTTTCCGATTCCGAATCCATTGGGCCTTTTGTCTTCGATGAAACTGTGACCTTTTCCATGTCCTGACTGTCGGACATATTACAGTGGATCTGTCTTTCCGGTGGTATTAGACCGACTCTCGTATATCGGATCGGGTGTCCTTTATGTGCGTTTGTCGTGGCAAGGACGTTCTGTTTAATCAGCTTTGGCAATACGCGCTCGGTTGCCGTGTCGATCTCCTTTATCATTCCATTTCCGTCGTTCCAAACTGCGTTGATATATTGGCTAATCCGGTGACTCGTTGACCCTAATGGGCTTGTCATTCCCGCGATTGCCCTTTCTACTCGCATTGGGACCGCTTCATTCGGGGTTGTCAGCGCCTTATCCGAACTGGCTGGTCTGAACAACTTGGCCTCATACGAGAAACTCGGGTGCTTCTGTATAAGTTTTCCTGCGTTCCGCGCGAATTCCAATACGACGTCGAACTTTTGTTTAGTGAAGCTACGATGTTGTTTCTTCAAATACGTCTTCAGGCCTGATTTAAATTTGGATGTCACCGATGCTGTTCTTATTCGTATGAAATTCTTCTCCGCTCCGTTATACGCTTTGATTATTTCATCGACCGTGTTCAAATTATCATCATCTGGACCATCAAATTCTTCGTCTGAGGTGAAGTCCAATTCACTCTCTCCATCTGGTTCAGCGTAATTGATCATTGCCATTGCATCAACTTTCATGGCTGTTTTGACCTTTCCTTTCGTCTTAACGGGCTCGCTCTTTGCTTTTTGCCCTTTATCCAAGGCCTCCGCTAAGCTTCTTGGCTCAGTAGTCCTTGATCGTGTCGTTTTCGAATCTGTATGTGACCTTGCACTGACCGTCGAAGTGCTTGGAAGGCTCGCTTCCGATGCCTCCGATTCACGCGACGTCTCCCGTTTCGCTTTTTCGCGAATCTGTTTATCCTTGCGCTCCTTTGGCGTGGATGCGGAGATGACAATGGGGACAGCTTGTTTCACCGCTATGACCTTTCCTTTGAGTTTTGATGGCTCTGCTGTAGCCGATTGAATAACTTTCTTTGACTTCGTAGGTGTCGATGACCTTTCTTCAACTTCGCCGACTGACTCGTCCAATATCTCGACATCATGCGACGCTGGTTCATCTCTTTTCTTCTTCCCGGTGCTTGTGCTATCGCTTTCGTCACCGCTCTTCTTCTTCTTATCTTCTTCCTCCTGTCGTTTCTTCTTATCCTCTTCCTCCCGTCGTTTCTTGAGGAAATCGCCTTTCTTAACCTTGTCACGGTTCATGGCCTCTTCCAATCTGGGCGCTTTCCTCGGTTTGACTTTTGAGGGCTTGACCTTTAAGGGCTTTTTATGCTTATCGGCCGTTTTTTCGTCTGAGCCTTCTTCCTCAGGTGGGTCCTCGTCTTCCGACTCTGGTTCGTCGTCACCAGGTGGATTACAATGGGCACAGTTTGGTTCATCACACTGAAGGTGCTCATGACTTCCTTGGGCAATCTCAAGTACTCTTTGTAGCGAACGTCTGGCCCCTCCTGTTTCAGTTACATTTGCCGACGTGCCCTGTGCCTCTTCCGTCTCTCCGGCTCCGCCTTCTTGTGCCGGGGGCTGGATTTCCAAATGTAGTGTCTCTGTCAGCTGTCCCTGTGAGGCGACCTCCCACAAAGGGTTCTTCTTAGCGTCGTAAAATACCGTTTTGTACGATCCGTCTTCCATTCGTCTTGTGAGTCGGAAATGTGCTCCATCGATTTCCGCTCGATGCCGCATCATGCTGATCAGTGTACTCGCTTGAACCACGGCATCTGTCCGGTCACTTTCGGGTATCAGATCCCATAACTGCTCAACGGCTGCCTGATTCGCATTTCGGGCGCTCTCTTCTGATACGTCCCATGGAGCATATGGAACCGGGTCTCCTGTTATTGGATCGACTATCACTGCAGTTATGGTTTCCACAGCTTCTCCATTACCGCCGAAAAGTCTGAGGGTGACCTTTCTGCTTGTCGCCTCTGTATATCTCTGGACCGACTCATAATCATCTGACGATCGTTTTTTCGGATCTGGATCCGCCGTCGGTTTTGAGCGAGTTCTCTCTTTGGTCAACAGTTTGCCGTCCGTTGTGTATGTATATGCCAAGTGGTCATCATCTGTGCCCACTTTGATACGGATCCATGCATCTTCTTCGGTTGCAACTTTAGATACCACGTGCTTCATCATCTGAACGATAACTCTTGGGTTATGACGTTCTTCTGGAGGAATAAACTGTAGCGCCTCATTGACTATCGTTTTTGACTCTTTCCCAATGGCATCCTTGACTGACCTATCCGCGAGGGGATTATACGAGTCGATCTCTTTGTTCGTTTTCTTATCGACTATTCGTGCGGTGACCTTTCGTTCTCTATGGTCTTCGCCAGTGTACTTGGCCGTGAAGCTTCTACACTTCGGAAATCGAATTTGACCTTCTGTTCCAGCTGGTGTGGGTGGCGCGCTCTTTCTACCCACTGGGACTGGGCCTTGTGGCTTTGCCGGCTCAGCTGGTGTTGCTTTACCTGACGTGGCCTTCTTCGTTCGCTGCCCTTTCTTGTCAGTTTCTTTTGGGCTTATCGTTGGTGACCTTGCTCTTTTCCACTCTTCGTGGCTCCGCTAGATGGTTCTGTAACCGAACTGGTCCGTCCACGTGTTGATCCTGCGGTCGAGCTGGCCCGTGACCTTTCTGCTCGTTCAGTTAATTCGGCATCAATCTTTCTCTTTGTTGCCAAAAGGTCACTGTCAGACATTTCATCCACCGAAGTGGCTTTTTCGACTAATGGCTTAGATGTTCCTGCGCTGCTGGTCGCTGGAATCGTTTTCTCTTCCGGAAATACTTTAAGGTATCTCAGAACCTTCTCGATAATCCGCGGCCACTGCCTGCCATGTACTGCCGGATGATATTGCCACATCGATGCAATTTTTATCGCTAATTCTTTGCGCTTGACTTCTATCGCTTTTGTTTTCTCTTTCAACGCTGTGTGGCATGGTTTGATGACTGCCTCCAGGCTGATCAACTTTCCATACCATCCATGTTCGTCTTCCACTCTCATGTGAATTCTGTAAAGGTCACGGCACATCCTGTTAAAGTCCTGAATGGCCGTTCCATCCGCTTCTGTCAACTCTTCTGCTTTGTCCACGATTACGTTTAAACGCGCATCATCCTCTCTGAGGTCCAAAGGGAGTTTCGGCGCGTACTCGTGTACTGAAGGTTCGCCTGGTGGCGTCAACCGTAACCCATCTGGTCCCGTTTCGTCCAAGTTAGGGCCCAGTGATGGCAATATGCCTCGCGGTCGTGGTGAATCGAACCGGTTTCCGCCTCGTCTTCCTCCTCTCTGTGGCGAGTTCCGGTGAGATCGTTGCGCTCCAAGTTGCTGCGGTGTTCTCATGCGAGGCGCTCCGATATCCGACAGTGACAAGCCTCCCGTCTCCGGAAAAGGCGGTAATATCGGAGATGACCTTTGTGATCGTGGTGGAGTTCCGCTGAATCCACCATGTCCCATAAATCGACTCGGTGTGGTCTGTTGCGGTGGCGGCATCAACATTCTTGCCGGTCCCATCATTACTTGTGGTGGTCCCATCGGTGGGGTATACGATCCTGGATACGGTTGATACGGGGCGCCCGTTACTTGTCCCGAATACTGGGTTCCGGCAGGTGAGCCGTGGTGCACCCAGTTAACCGTGTCCTGATAACTCGTCTGCTGTCCTGGATCGTGATACACGTAATATCCCTGGCCGCCATAGTAACCTCCTTGACTTGTTCCAGGTTCATTCTGAGCCGTTCCCACTGACGACGTCGATCCTTCACCATATGAGGTGTCATAACCGTATTCACCTTCCATTCTTATAGGTGTAGATGCTTTTAGTGGGTTTCCAATACTTTCCGAGTCTGAATTATCCGAGTTTTGTCGTTCCAATCTGTCCATTAACTGTGCTTACCTTCTATAAAACGAAACAATAAAGGTTAACTTTTGCACAGTGGTGACCTTTTCTTTTTCCTTTTCGACTCCTATTTTTAATTTATTGTGACCCCTTATTTATGTCTATGTGGTTATTTGTTCTCTCGTCCTTTAGTTATCCGATCAAGAAGTTCTTTCTCGGCTGCATCCTCAGGTTCGCCTTTTTGGGTCAATAAGTCCGTAGGGGTCGGTTTCTTTTTCTTCTGTTTGGCTTTCCGCTCGTTAATTGCTTTCGCTATATCACGGCCCAATTGTTCAGCTTTTGATTTGACCGCTTCTATCTCCTCTTCTCTTTTTATGAGGTCATTCTCATTACCGGTAACAGTGCGTGGTTCGAAAAAATTCGGGTCACGCTCTGACATCTCAGCGTCCGTACGCTGTTTCGAAAGGTCATCCTTATCTTCGGTAGCAGTGCGTGGTTCGAAAAAGGATTGTTGCAGGTCCTTTTTGGAAGTACGCTCTGGTACTTTAGAGGTCGGTTCGTTGTCTTGTTCCAGTGACCTTTCTGCCAAATTACCAGCCTCCGCGTTCAACTTGATTGTGACTGCTGTTTCGAAATCCTTATCCTCTTTCTTCTTTCTTCCTCTTTTCTTTGTAGGTTTGTTTTCTTTTTCCATTTCAGGTAGCGGAGGTGGTTCGAAAAAAGGTTCTTTTTGAGGAGTATGCTCTGCGCCCTTATCCACTTTTTCCCTTTCAGGTAGCAGAGGTGGTTCGAAAAATTGATTGGTACCATTTTTCGAAGCAAGCTCGGCTTCTTCCGTTTCTCTTTCGTTCAACGTTCGTTGCGAATCTTTCTCGTCGGGTAATGGCGGATGCCACGGCTTTAACCGATCAATAGAAACCACTTTTAGATCCGCTTCCTTCTTCGGATTCTGCTCGATGACCTCCGCTTCGTTTGTTCGCGGGAAGCTAAGAATTTTCCACACTTTATCGTACTTCGACTTGAAATCCGACTGATTTTCTTTTTTCCTTGTTTAGTATCTTTTGGAAGTCGTATAAGTACCAAATCGCCCACCTTGAAATTCGGCTCCGATTTCTTCTTATTATAAATTTCCGCATTTTTCTCATATGCGTCTTTGATGTTACATCTCGCCACTTCTTCGGCAAAGGTCAAGTTCTTTTTCATGGTCTCCACCCATTCGTCTGGAGTTCCGTAATCATCGGGTATATTCGTTTTTGTAACCACATCTTCCGGCATTGTCATTTCTCTGCCGTGTAGCATATAGTATGCTGAATATCCCGTTGTGGCGTGCACGACTCTGTTCATCGCCGAAATAACATATGGGAGATACTTGTTAAACTTTCGCTCATTTCCCGCTTTTAGGTATTGCGCCAAGCCATCAGCAATGGTCTGCATCTGTCTTTCCACTTGGCCTTGACCTTCTGGGTGATACGCCGTTCCAAATGTGTGTTTAATCTTAAACACATTGGTGACCTTTGTCAACACTTCGGCTGTGAAGTGCCGTCCACGATCCGTATGTAGGATGTGCGGTGCTCCGTGTACCAATATCACGTGCTTTACAAAGACTTTCGCGAATTCTTTAGCCGTTGCCGTCTTCATTGGTACCGCAATCACATATTTCGTCAGTTGATCAATAAACACCGCTATGTATTTGTATCCACGTTTCTTCGTTGGCAACAGCGGTCCCTTCAAGTCCGCGTAGACTCGGAAGAATGGGTGTCCAACTTTTATCTCCTGTAGTTTACCGGGTGGGCATTTCCTCGGTGTCTTGCGAAATTGGCATCCTTGGCAAGCAAGTATGTAATTCTTCACGTCAGTGCTCATTCTGTCCCAATAGTAGCGCAATCTTATTGCTGACAGAGTCTTTTCAAATCCCAAATGGCCTGCTGCTTTCTCGTCGTGCAATGCGTGGATTATCGCTCTTCGCATTGACAACGGTACCACATATGACCTTTCAAGTCTCCCATTTTTATCCTTTACTCGGTACAGTATGCCGTTCCACAACTGGTAATGCACTTCAAATTTCGATCTTGTTTCCGCGTCTGGTAGATGTTCCAGCTCGTCTATTATCATCGCCAGATGAGGATCTTTCAGCTGTTTGTTTCGCAACTGCAAGTTTGAATCATCAACCTCTTCTTCGTCACCTTGCAGGTTGACAATGCGAACTGTCGCTGTACTGAGTTCATTCCAATCCTTGATGACCTTGCATCGTGGTAACGGTTTATACCGCTTTTTCGCCTGTTTTGGGAATCTCAATAGTTTGATTGGGCATTCGTTCATCGCTTGTGCCACTTTGTCCGTTTCCCAAAGGTCATCTCTATTCTCCGCTCTATCATCAAGTCCCGTGACCTTTCCGTTCTGCGTTTGAGATTCCGCGTCAAGTCCGGTGACCTTTAAGTCACTAACGGCGGGCAACCAGCTTTTCACTCGGTTTACTTTTGCTTCGTTTTCAGCCGACTCGTTCGCCGTAGCTGAAGTGACCTTTAATCGTTTCTCCCTCTGTTCCACCATCTGCAGGAACAGCTGTCCAACTTCAATTGCCGGTTCCTTCGTATCAAACTCCTTCTTGTAATCCTCGAAGTTCGGAATCTCGTCAAATTCTTCTTCGTGACACGTCGGACCTTCAATTGGCGCCCTTGATAACGCGTCCGCATTGTCACAGTATTTTCCCGGTTTATATTCAATTTTAAACTGGTGACCTTGTAATGCCATAGCCCATCTTGTCAGTCGCGGGTTCATTCCAACTTTATTTGTTTCTGACCTTAGCAAGTTCGTCAACGCCTGATGATCCGTCCTTACGGTGAATTCTGCGTAATCTATATACGGCTTGAATTTCCTGACAGCGAACACTACTGCCAGACATTCCCATTCCGTTACACCGTAATTCTTTTCAGCTCCATGTAGAACACGACTGGCGTACGCGATCGGATGTCCATCTTGTGACAGCACAGCTCCAATTCCTTCTTTACTTGCGTCGCATTCGATTACGGTCGGTTTTGCAGGGTCAAACTTTGCCAATACCGGACCTTCACATAACAGTTGTTTTAGACTGTTGAACTCTTCTTCATGTACTGCTGTCCAGTCTTTTTTCACGTGTTTATCTTGTCTCAGCAACTCATACAAGTGGCAAGTCTTCTGTGCGTATCCCATTATGAACTTGCGATAATAGTTCGCCAATCCAAGAAATGACCTTAGTTGCCGCTCTGTTTGAGGCCGTTTAAATTCTGAGACCGCGGTGACCTTTTCCGGATCCATTCGAATTCCATCTTCACTGAGTATGTGACCCAGGAATCCCATTTGTCTCATTCCAAATTCGCATTTCGTTGGCTTAATCGTGAATCCCGCTTCAACTAAACTCATTAAGACGTTTCTCAAGTTTTGCATGAAAATCGCCCAAGTTTTTCCGGCGAAGATAACGTCATCGATGTACCCGAAAACGCAACCCTTTCTTTTCGCTTTCGACAATACTTTGTCCATGCACAGTTGGAATGTTGCTGGCCCATTGCAAACTCCAAACGGCATACGTTTAAACCGATACATTCCATCTTGCGTGACAAAGGTCGTCTTATTGATTGACGCTGGATCCATTGGGATCTGCCAAAATCCACTTTGTAGGTCCATTTTTCCATAATATTTGTTGCCTGCACGCGTCGAGCAATTCATCTGGATT